CCACTCAATCAAATTACTGGCTTCGCAAAAGGTCGTAAGCTCTAATTAAGCTCATGATATCGTGACTTGAAATGGAGAGTGAGCCTCGTCCACACATGGCGATTTGTCTGCCGACTGTCTCCGGAGTGTTGCCATTTGTCTCCAGCGATGTCTCCAGTAAGTCGGCCAACGGTCTGCCGACTGTCCACCGACTGTTGACAGACAAATGTTTCTGGAGACAAAATACAGTGTTTTCTGTTTCCCGTTCGAATGGGAAACACGGAGACAAGAGACAAAACTTTTGTCTCAATTAGTCTGCATGATGTGGACGTGTCTGGGGACAGGAGACTGGATACAAGCCGAAGGTGTTATACCTTCAGCCCATTTAGTTGGACTGCAACGCGGTAAAATGACGATTAAACGAGCTGGATTGATTGAGTTTCTTGAAAGTTTTGGAATTAGTTTATTTAGTTTTCAATAATTTATATTATCATATGACATTTTATTGAATTGTTCATCTCTTCAAGTTTGAAATTTTAGGACCAACGAAGCCCAGCAAAAGTTCAAAATCTTTAGAAGTCAACACCTAGTGAAGTTCCTAAATCCTTCACCTAATCTAAAGCTCTGATAGTAGATTGTGACCATAGTACGAACCTTGCTCGAGAAAATGTTGGCTTATGAGTCCATCATTGTCTATTCCCAGGTTCTTAGCCCCATATGGTTCTAGCCCGCACAGGATATAATTACTTCCTCCTTGGTCGCCATACCAACAAACACAGAAACACTGGCTGGCTAGTGTGGACGCATAACACATAGGAAACTTGTATTCGAAACTGTGTTGAAAGATTGTCGGCAGACGATCGGTCGACTGTCTGTCGACTGTCCGCCGACTGTCCGCACACAGTTGGCCGACTCATCAGTCTCCATGCGTGGACTAGGCTTGAGGTATCATCAGCAAATAGTGTTGGTGCGGTGGTTGAAGTGCATGATGGGAGGGTAGGGTGTTGATAAAAGATGACGAACAGGGTGGATCCTAAAAATGAGCCCTGAGGCACTCCTCTCAGAGTAGTGGTCTTAACAGAGGAATAGCCGACAAATGAACCCAGTCTAGTCTACTGCATGGATCTCTACGTACTGTGTTCTGCCACACAGGTAGGCAGCAATCCAACTACACAGGTAGGCGTCGTCCTGTAATCCAGCTACTTGGAGGTCACGGATTGTGGATATTTACAGGCATGCACTGTGGATGGGATACTCCCTGGTGTGGATTAACGTCCGCACTAGTGAGTACTACTACTATCCACAGTTCTATCCTGATAATTAGACCAATTCGTATATACCAAGGAAAAAATGTGGTTCGAATTCCACTATAAACTGTAGGTCCCTTAGTTGCCATTAGCTGTTTGGGCTATTAATTAACAGCTGTGTCTAAGGAATGTCGGCCTTAGTCACTAACAAGACTACAAGATCGCGCCACTCATCTGACACTCATCTCCATTCATACTTGGCTTAAAATACCTACATAGTATGGTCGCCATTTCATAAGAAAGTATAAAGTATAAAGTAAACTTAAGGCTACTCCTATATTATTCCCACTTTATCCGTTCTTTGCAGTAGTGACTATGACTGTATCAAAAGCCTTTCTCAGGTCAAAAAATATTCCTTCTGAATAGTTTCTTGAATCAAGCTATCTTACAACTCTGTTTATTACCTTGATGAATATTATTCTTCAAAATACACCGCTCATGAAAATTGATAGCACCAGCTTCCCTTGCTGGTTCTCTACTGATCTAATCAACCTTATCGTTGAGAAAAAACGACTTCACCGGATTTACAAGAACACCCTAGATAGATCGTCCTACTTAGAGTTTTCGAGATTAAGAGAAGAATGTCGTCGGCAGTCGAGGCATTGCTACAGAGAAAACATTGTATATGTTCAAAACTGTCTTCCCAACAACCCCAAAGTTTTTTGGAGATTTGTCAATAACCTAAAACGGCAAGAGATCGTCCCAAGTAAACTGACACACAATGACCTGTCGTCAACTCAGCCTGAGCAGATGTGTGAACTATTTGCTAGTTTCTTTTCATCTGTATTCTCTCCTCCATCAAACCCTACAGTTCAGTATAACTTTAATACCGTAAACTGCTTGAGTAAACTTTCTTTCACTGCAAATGAAGTTTTCGAAGCATTAGGAGATTTGGATACTTCTAAAGGCTGTGGACCTGATCTCATTCCTTCAAGTGTTCTTAGATATTGCAGAGTATTACTGTGTGACCCTCTTCATGTTCTGTTCAACAAATCCCTTCGTAGTGGTGTTTTCCCTGATATTCTCAAGCTTGGATATGTGATACCTATACACAAAGCAGGTTCAAAGGAGGATGTTAACAACTATAGACCTGTGGTTATACAATCTGCTGTGGCTAAGGCGTTTGAGAAGTTGGTCGTAAGCTCACTCCTCTATTTAGAAGTATCCTCTCTCCGAGACAACATGGGTTTACCTTTGGTAGATCTACCGCTACCAACTTGGCTGTGATGGAAACTGAAATAATTAAGGCGTTCAATGCTCGCCAGCAATTAGACGATATCTACCTTGATTTTTCTAAGGCGTTTGATAGAGTTAGCCACCACCATCTCCTGGCTAAATTAAAAGCTTATGGAATAATTGGAGAGCTCCTAGATTGGTTCGGATCCTATCTTTCCAACCGTAAGTTGAGAGTTAGATTCTTTGGACACCTATCAACTGAATTTGAAGTGACATCGGGTGTACCCCAGGGCTCGCATTTGGGACCGTATCTTTTTAACACATTTGTGAATGATATTGTTGAGGTTATTGGGTCTGACTGTCTGCTTTTTGCAGATGACTTGAAAGTGTATGGAAAAATTACCTTACCGGCTGATTGTCTGTTGCTTCAGGAGAGTCTCCAGGCTATTGTGAATTGGTGCCAGATAAACAACATGTCACTCAATGTGAAGAAATGTAACTGTATTACATTTCATAGAACTAAATCTGCCATCATCTTCGACTACAAACTGGATAACATTCCACTGACTCGTTGTGAGAGTATCCGTGACCTTGGTGTAATGCTTGCTCAGGATTTGAGACCCAATTTACATATCCAAAACATCTGTGCGAAAGCGTCTAGATCTCTTGGCCTGTTAGCACGTTCTTCCAGAGACTTTGATGACCTCCACTCTCTTAGGACACTCTATTGTGCCCTTGTACGTCCGCTGCTTGAATATAACTGCGTAGTATGGACGCCGCATCAGATTACCCTGATTCGGGAGCTTCAGACCATCCAAGACAGGTTCTTACGTCTCCTTGGCTGTCGGATGGGGTTTTCCTTCAGAGAAGTTCCTATTAGAGATCTCGAGCCATTGTTCAACCTTCAAAGCTTGGAAGTCAGAAGAGATGTTTTTGGAGTAGTGTTTCTGCACAAGCTGGTGAATGGTTTCGTGGACTGTCCGGAGCTGCAAGGCCAGACTAGTTTCCTTTGTCGTACTGGAACCAGATCTACCGACCTTTTTGGAAGACGGCATGTGAGCACCAACTATGATGCAAACAGCACCCTCAATAGAATCCAGAGACTTGGGAACAAAGCCTCACACCACATCGACTTTTTCGCTGACAGTTCCACATCAGTCAAGAGGAGCCTGCTAAGAGTCGCAACTGACGAGCTCTACAGCCTGCGACAATGACACAGTAGTTTGTAATGCATGTAGACACAATCTGTACCTTTTTTAGTATTGAATAAGTCAGATTATATTTTTTGTTAGCAATTCAGTATTCATTAGTTTACAAAAGTCAGATTATTATATTGTTGTCTTTTTGAAATATTTATTTGTTGTTATTGTTGCATGATTAAAGAAAACAATATATATATATATATATATATATTTATTGTTGTTGTAATTCTGAAAATATTTATTTGTTGTTAATGGTTTGATAAATGGATATGGTGATGTTATATTGTTACATGTTCATAGTACACATTTTATGCTGTTGAATTTAGACTATTGTGTTACTTACGTTGCTGCTGTTGTTGTAATTATTTGTAGTATTTGTATCCCATCTTGCTTTGATTTTTTATTGTTATTTCTTGTTATGTATTGCTATTTTTATTGTTATTTCTTGGTAATGTTTCAATGTAATGGGTTTCCCGTTGGAATAAATAAATAAATAAATAATTAGGTCAAACATGGCAGTCAGAGTGGACCTTCCTTAAAAAAAAAACATTCTGTTTAGTGGTGATGATTTTATTATTTTCTCATGAGTTCATGGCTTTCTCAAAGACCTTAGAGAATACGGAAACAATTGATATTATGGTCTGTAGCTATTGCAAGCCTTGGGATTTCTTTTTTTTAAATATGGGTCTAACAACCGACTTCAGACGCTCAGGAAAAGTCCCACAGCTAAAAGAGAAGTTAATGAGGTGACACAATGGATGGAGCAAATAATCTGAAACTTTTTCCAGCATCACAGGAGATATATCATTGGAGCCTGAGCTTTTTTTGTTCTTTAAACTTTTTGCACTTCTTCTACTGCTACTGCCGTTACCGGATACAGAAAAATCGAATCTACACATTCTCTAATGTTTTCAGTAATGTTTTATTGGTAACAATGGATCAATAATAATACATCAATGATAATGAACATACTACAATAATAATACTCATATTAATCATACCATAGATGAAACATAGTATGTTTTATCTATGATCAAACATAGCATCTATCTTCATTCATTGTATAATCAATGCTAACACATAATACATAATCAAATCAATCAAATGAAAACGCTGGAAACACTAGGGCTTCATAGACGTACAACTAATCTGCCCGCCCTGTGTAAATCTATATATACAAAATAAGAGAAAATTGAGTTAAGGTTATGTTCATTTGTTTACATTTACGCTGAATGAAAAATGAAATTACCCTCCACTCTTTTAGTTTATATAAGTGAGACTAAGGTATTTCAATTGTTTCAAACCTAATCGTTACGACATTTACTTTCTGTTTAAGAAAAAAAAAAAAAACTGTACCAGTACCGGTAGCCATCCTATATTTAATGAACGTTAGGCAACAGGCCTAGTGTTCTGCCCATTTGAGTTTCGGCTATTTCCATTTTTCAATTCATAAGTAGGCACAGTTGATAGTTTTGTTGTTATATCTCATACAAAAACGCTTTAAGTTAGTCGATTTATTTTAAAATGGGTACCATCCAAAGGATAATTTCAAATAACTCACTTTTTATAAGATCATATCAATGCAACCTGCTGGGCTCACCAAACATTTGGAATCCCAAAAACAAGTAAGTTGATGTAGGCTAGGTACCTTTATACCTTCATACCTTTGTATCCATCGTTGACCAGTTATGACTGAATAGATTTAGTCTAAAGTTTAAGTTTTAATACTTTGGATATTTATAACGGTTAAACTTAACTTAACATGGCTGTAGGAGGTCCATCCACCGTTCTCCTCTGTGAAGGCCTACAGGTATTTTCCTTGATCTGCACCAGACAGTTGTTATGAGGTAAGATGAATTGGCTGTAAACAGTCATCACTCCCAAGGCACAGAGAAGTGGCGGACAGTGTTCGTGCCTTTCGCTGGACATTATGGCCGTTATAGCAGCCTTTTGAACTGTCTTATGAGGTAAGATGAATTGGCTGTAAACAGTCATCACTCCCAAGGCACAGAGAAGTGGCCTACAGTGTTCGTGCCATTCGCTGGACATTATGGCAGTTATAGCAGCCTTTTGAACTGTCAGAATGGTCTTGGTCTCTGAAGCATGTACCCAACAATGACACCGTAGCTCATTAGGCTGTGGAAGAAGCCATAATAGGCTAGTTTTAGGTAGGTCATTTGTGACCTAGGAGGATTCAACATTAAGGAGAGGACACGCTGTAGTTTCGTTGAAGCCAGCGTACTGGGGAGGGGGGAGGCAGCGCTACTCTCCCGCCCCCCTCTCATACTGCGAGGTATGCGTTACTGGAAGATTTGGTAACAGAAATATCCATCAACTATTTAAAAATTAGACTTCATCATTCTACGAAAATTAAAAAGTTAAATTCTAACCCTAATATTAGGAACCTATTAAGAGAAAAGTCATATTTATGAACCAATAGTACGTTCAAAGGTGAGTAATTTACACAAGGACGACTTGTTTTTTAGAATTCGTTGTCCTTGTTTTTATTTTTTGCCATACTTGTATTGTGTACTAGCTGTGTGCCCGTTCTACGCACGGGGATCTTATTGTAGTCAGTTATTGAAACCTTTTTATTAAGAACAGAATTTGGTTTGCATATTTTCAGATATGCTGGCAAAACTATTATATATAAACCTTCGCAAATACAGTATCTGACAGTTACAAGCCAAAACAAATGCTTCGAAATTAAATGTAACCTGGGTCGTGTTGGTCCATATGTTAAATCCAATGATTAAACTAAAAAATGCTTTATAGATCTATGAGGCATAGCCCTAATGTAGGCCTATAATTAAAAGTTACCTTTCACAATGGTTAAAAGTATTTAAGGTACTACCTCAATCTCCCAATTTAACACTTTATTCGTGTTGACATTTTCATTATAAAGGTACTTTTGTCCTTTCCGTGAAACACTGAGAAATAAGGACATTGTTGCTTTACTAACGGACATACACACAAAAATACAGAACTTAATTAGGGGATTTGCTACGCTTTAAGCATAACAAAGTACTTGTAAAATTAGTATCTGAAATATTTTGTTATTGTCATCAAATTTCATCATAACAATGTATATTTGCTTGGACCGATGACTATATGAAATGAAGTACTATAGACGATTGGTAATTTATAGTAAATATTACCAAAATAGGCCACGAATTATTGATACATAAACAACGTAAAGCGTTTAAACAATTCATTATGGTTTGCTGAATAAATGTTTTACTAAAGTGCGTTATCGTTTTCTTAGCATAAACTAACATTTTGGAATCAAGAAAGAAAAAGCCAAAATTGTACAGTTAAGACATCAATCAAATTGAATACGCCTGTAATAATAAATAAGGTGCAACACCAACGATAACTAATTTGTAAAGTACAGTGATGTGTTGGTACTTAAAAATGATTCTTGCTACTACCAACAGTACCAACGGTTCTAAGGAATAGAACCGGTACCAAAAACCAACGTTCACAGTTGAGAACTATAGTACAGCCGACCAATTATATGAGTTAATCAAGTCCCGAGGTTATTGATCTCTTGGTTTTGGATTTTCTCGTAAAACGTTTTAAAACTGCAATCAAAGTTATTTCCCATTAATTGCTTTATTTGTAAACAACTTTTAATGTAAACCTATCGGTGTCAGTTTGAAAAAAAAAAACAACCTCATACAAACAACTTTTTGTTATTTAATAAATTACGTACCTATTCTCTAAACAATGATTGGTAAAGGCTATCTAATAACATTAGAAGGAAATGTGACAAATATCACACAACGTTGGGTTTTTGGACGTTTGCAATTTTATTTCTTAAGTAGGTAGGCCGTGTATTCTAGGGAAAAGTACCGGTATCAAGGATCGTCGTCGAACAGTTTGTTATGAATAATTGGGTAGGCGTACGTACCCAAGAGATGGGCTATGGTCCTATTGGCTGTATGGTCCAGCGATTGCATCACACGGTGAGTAGGTACTATTGACTATATATATAGTCAATGGTAGGAACAGAAAATAACACATTTGAAAAGCGAGTTTAGCATCATCCGTAAACCTCTGTTACAATAACCCACTGCAGTTGTGATTTTTAACTTTACACTTTACACAACCGCCATTGAAGCGCCGTGTCAATGAGTGGAAACCATATTTCTAAGCCATTTGGCGACGATCATTATTAAATTTAAAGTTTCCCAGCCGTATACAACACTGATTCAAGGTCTTCTTTCTGGTTATCAAAACTCAAGAACAATTTATACACAAAGAATCTCTGGTTCCTGAACTGGATGATGCCTAGTTATTTAATTTCATTTACACGGTTACGCTATTACACTATATTATTGCACTTTCGATTAATTAAATCCGTTATGTAATAAAAACGTTTTTAATCACTTGGGATTTACATTCAAAACGTGATTGAAAAAGGTTGCGGTATTTGTAAACAACATTTGTAAACATATCAGTGACAGCTAGGAAAAATAGTCTTGATCCGAACAGCTGTTCGTTATTTCATAGATGATTATGCAATAAAAATTGGACGAAAACTTGACATAAATCGCACAAAACTACATTTTTGAACGTTCGTAATATTATTATCAAAGTAGTGAGGCCATATTTTAATGGCTAAAGACAATCTCGCCAATCCAGTGAATACATTAAAATGACTTGGATCTTGATAGGTACTCTCGTTTTCCAGGAGAAGATAGCGTAAAATGCCATCTTGAGTGTGTCAGACAGACAGAAAGAAAGACAGACAGACAGACAGACAGACAGACAGAAATTGAGATAAGACTCGTTTCTGCTTATTTAATGTATAAGACGTAAAAATAACCTAAAAATATATAATTCTGAGCAATGTACAGACAAAACTCTAATTTTATTTATATAGATTATTTATATTCCTCTAACCAGAGCGCGGGACTCCGGTTCATGGGGTCCCGGGTTCAATTCCCGCCATATCACCAATGGATTGTACTGTTGATAAATTAAAACTCAAATTATGAGTAGTACTGTATGTGTATTTGAACATTTTCTTAAAGAGAAATAAAATAAGTTTTAATCCTTTAAAAGAATGATAAACGCACTTTGGCGGTCAGAAGACGCGATGATTGTTGAACATTTACATTTTTTACTCGAAGTTTCTTTGGGCAAACAGATCAAATATAGTTCAATATGATATTTAAAAAATCAAGAATTTGATTGCCAAGAAATTGTTTTACTTTTTATGATTGTAATTTAATTGTAACGGCTGTTGGTGTAAAAAAAGTTAGAGCGGCTTTGCATTTTTTCTTAACTTTGGCTATTTAAAATCACCTGCCTAGCACATAAATGACTTAAAACTAGTAAAAAATTATATTAACAAATCGAGAAAACTATGAAAAATGCAAATTTAAAATGTATTTCACCACCCGAATTAAAATTTTAATTTAACCTATTATTAGTAAGATTGTTTTATAAACTGGAAAAATAAAAAAAAACTTATTGTAATTATTTTTCTAAATACTACTTTTAAATATAGGTAAATATATATTTTTTATTTCGAGAAACTCTTAAGGAACACGAATAAATTGTTAATTTGTGTAGATACATCAGATTTTTTTCAAAAACTTAATTATAGTAATCATATGTTCAAAGTCCAGGTCAATTCTTTCAACTTTGATCTTCAATAATAAATAATTAATAGTTTTTATAGGAATGATTGACACCGTTCGATAGGAAATTTAATTTTCTTTAAGAATGCCATCGGTGAATAACACATGTGTTTTAGTTTAGCGGCAATTTTAATTCGAAACAGCGCGCGTCGCGTTTTTCCCTATCTCCCCCATGTTATAGCCGCGGCTTTTTGCCACTCTACGGCTCCGCGTGCCCCTCTAGTGTTCTGCTAAAGCTGGCTTCACCGCAACACGTGTATTCCTATTCGCGTGCCCTCTCCTTAATGTTTAATCCACCTAGTTTGTGACCAAGTTTTTTAATTTTCTTAAAAGGAGAAAAGTTCTCGAAAGTCTGCCTCCCAACTCATTTAGGCTATGTGCTTGCTACTTTAACCCTTCGCGGACGGGTGACGGATATATCTGCCTAAGTCTTTGGCGGTTAAGGACTGGTGACGGATATATCCGCTTATGGTTCTTTTTTGATGTTCCAAATGGGAAGCGGTTATATCCGCCTTCTCTTCATACAGACTAGCCGGTGCTTGAGCAGTAACCAGATGTTTTGCGGTACCAAGGCGCCACTTTCCTGCTCTCTCTATGTCTGCGCTCTCCCCCGCACTCCCCCCTCTCTTGCGCGCCAACCCCTCTTCTGCGTCCCCCCCGCGCACCTACCACCATTCCTAGGCCCCTCTCTCGACGTTTCACGCTCAACATTACGTTGTCTTTATTTATTGTTTACATATTGTTCTTTATTTATTGCCTAACGTTGTCATGGTCATATCTTCAAAGACCGGTGGCGGATATATCCGCTGTATTTCTACTCATTCGCGGACGGGTAGCGGATATATCCGCATAGTTAAAAACGAGTAAAAAATTATTTTGACAGTATGAAGTGTTCCATTGTGTTTATTTTATGTATAAGTTACTTGTTTAATAAAACACAAATAAGGAAAATTAATTTTAATTTTTTCCCGTCCTATGTCAAAATTTTGCCCGTCTGGGAAGGGTTAATTTTACTACCCTATTATTCAACCTTAGCATTGGATTAAAATTAGATGATACAGTAGACTCCCTCTTATCCGTACTCCTCGGGACCGAGGCCAGTCCGGATAACGGTTTTTCCGGTTAAACTGACGTCCCCAAAAAATCATAAAAACGGACCGTTTAAATGCGTATTTGACTTAAATTTAGGAGAGGATTGTGTTTAGACATGTGATCACTGGTCTCAAATCTTTCCCACGAGAACGGCCGTTTCAGTACCGCCCACTTCCTGCCGATCTAGTCCGGTTAAACCGATGTGCTGATAAAAATTGTCCGGTTAAAGAGATGTCATTCCCGCCGAGTGTAGTCCGGTTAAACCGATGTCCGGTTAAAAGGTGTCCGGATAAGAGGGAGTCTACTGTATTGGTAAGGAATACAATTTTCTTATTGTTGCTCCAGTAGGCCTAGTTGCATTTGTTTCAAATTATTAACTTACTTTTTAGGCAACGTTTTATTTTAAAGCGAATTTGGGAAGAGCCCAAATGCATTGATGTTCAATAACAAATACACTCCCCTCAATGCAGAAATGTAGGTGTATCATGATTTAAACCAAAATAAATTTTTGTGACCGCAGGAGGAGTCACATGATTAACTTAAAGGCTATTGTCCACTTGGCTACAGGAGATAATCAGATTTTTGCCACGATTGTGGAAATCGACGATAATGTCTACATGACCGTGGGAGATGTTTATGATTTGGCCGCGATCGCTTAAGACTGCGATGATGTTTTCCTATTTCCGTGACCGCGGGAGTTGATGAATGATACCTAAAGTCTACATGGCTGCAAGGGACAATCAGAAATATGGCACAATCGCAGAAGACAATGATCGAAAAATTTTAATGAATTAGGTAAGTTAGCCGCGACTAGGGAAGACCACACCCGTCAAAAGATGTCGGATTACTGGAGAGCCGTAATGGCACAGTGCCTGATTATCGAGAGTCGCCTATATCTAAACCGTGCCTTTGGCAAATTTATGGCTTTGGTGGCCTAACTTATTTCTAAAGGGAACAGTTCAAACACTGGTATTGTTACTAGGCCTATCTAATGTCAGCCTTTTGTCAGAAATCATCATTCAGCCTAATTAATAGCCCAATGAAATGACATCTAGGTTAAGAATCAATTTTGCTTGGAATCTAACCAGTGACCTTCAGGTTTGAAGGCAAGCATTAAAACGGTTAGTCCACCCAGACAATTACTCCTTTATCAGTCAGTTTTTAAAATGAATAGACTCATTTAAAAACCACATTTTTAAAGAAGTATGTAAAGTGCTGTGAAGGAAAACGGCAAATAAAATCTGTACCTACGGATACAAAATGGCTAGAAAAACAGCATGTTAATTTTGTGCGAATGTGCTTCTCAACAAACATTAAAGAAGAAATCTAACTTGGACTGTACCTACCTTAATAATACGTACCGGTAGTACTTTCCTGTTAAAGGGAACATTCATTATTATCAATTATTTTTTTCTCGGTAGTCAATATTTTATTTTTCAATCAGATATATCGATACTAAGGAAATTAAACATATCAGCTGACAACTAACATGAATAAATACTGTTCAGTACGATATCAACAAACAAGAATATAACAAGAATATTGAAATGAAACTGTTTTAAACTAACCTAACAGAACTACTTACCTACGGTAACCAAACTTGCTGTAACATTTTAAAATTCCGTTTGATATTCTCCACTCGCCTTTTCTGTTATCAAATGGAATTTAGAAATGGTACAGCAAGTTTGGGGACGTCATCATAGACTCCCGCAATCAACAAAAAATAGTGAACATCTCCCATGATGACGAAATATTATCATTGCCACCTGTGATTGCCATGAAACTGCGAAAAACTCCTGCAATCACAGGGAGATCATCATCATCGCTATCAGTGGTCACTGCGAATTTGTGAACACCTCCCGCGATCAAGGGATATCTTGATCGTTGCTTGGCAAATAATTAATTCTATAAAATAAAAGTTCAATTTTTGTTCCGGAAATTTGTTTTAGTACAAATTGCTGCTGCCCCCTTTTTCTAGCTGCCTTCTGAAAACAAAGAAGGCCGAAGCAATTTTACTAAAATCCGGCACTGACTATCACATATTTTTTGTGGGGTCGCAGGGGGCCGAAATGATGTTCACTTACAATAGGAAAATGTCTAGATTTGGCCCTGTTAATACAACTCAGGTTTTTTTAGGCCTAGCTAATTTGATCTATCAAATGAGCAAATTATTGATTTGCTTTTATTGATTGTCTATTTTGTAGGCCTAGATATTATTTGGGGTTTTTTATATAAAAACATAAAGTCTTTTTAACAACCCTTTCTATTATTATGTCAAGTTCAAATGTCAACATGTAAAACTGTGCCTTATCAGAATTAATATCCGTCTGATTGTAATGTAATTATTTAACCAAGGTCAGTTTCAAGTAACAATGCTGAAAACTAATTCTATTGATTGCTCCTTCTCAACATTGTTATTTATTGTACTTATACCGCTGAAGTCTATTTTTAATACTTGTTACAAGTTCAATGGCTCTTAAAGGATTTTTTATTTTAATTTTCCTTTTTTATTTGTTTAGGAGATATTCACAGACTCATCAAGGGAATCAAGATGAACAAGAAAAATTTCTACCGACAATTTCAGAAGGTGAGATTATTCCTCAATTTGAATTGTAAGTACAGTAGACCCCATTTTAACTGACCCTAATGGGACCGGACCTAGGTTGGATGGCTCTCAAAAGGACGGTTAAAATGGGCAATTCCTAAAAACAAGAAAAAATGAAATGCTATTCATTTGGAATTATATAAGTTACACTTATCTCTTTTTTTTCGTATTGATAAAACAGTCACAAATAAACACAAAACACGGTTAGGTCAAATACTTTCAGTAGAATAAATTATAGTTGTAGGCAAGAGTCAATAAAAATTGTTACTTTAATAACTTAAGTAAACTGTAATTAACTGATGCTTTTTAAATCTATCGTAATTACAGTACAGAACTTTTTGTTGAAATTTAAAGATACATAGAACCAATTTGTTATGTGACAGGATGGTTATTTAGCCTCTCACTGGAGGCTCAAGTCACAAAAACTATCTTGACCTTGGCGTCATTAACCCCCCTCCCCTGACCACTCTACAAGTTGGGTTGTTTGTTTACTCTAGCGAAGATAATTCTAGATCATATTACAAAAAATAGCAGCTGTTTTCAGAAACATAAATTTTGGGATGAATACAAAATAACTTATTTTTAGTCACATCACGTGGAGATAAGCGTATGGTTCCGCTCACCAAGTCTGGAAGCGGATATGCCCGAGATTCCTAGAAAGCAGCGGTTGAACCAGACTGCTCTCAAAACATGACCTTTTGATTACTAGGCTAGCACTATTACCACTGTGATACTACCAGCTAAGATTAACCCTTTGCGGTCGAATGGCGAGTATAGGTCGCCGTCTGCCATTTTGCCGACTGCTCAAAAATGGCGACCTACAAGGACAAAAAAAAAAAAAAAAAAATTCAAAAATCAAAAAAGTTTATTTTTTTGGTAGAATGGTGAGTATAGGTTGCTGGGCGCCATTTTCTTGCCTGCTTGAATGGCAAGCTAAATTCACCGGAAAATGTGGAAAAAATTCGACCTCAAAGGGCTAAGATATAAATAGGTAGTGTGAACATCCTAAAACCTAGTAGGCATACTCTATATTACATCTTGACCAACTTATAACGTTTGGTTGCAATCAATATGTATAATCTCTGCAAATTTGTCCAGTTAAGAAGAAGTTCATGGCGAAAATGGGCCTGGAACCAGGATTTAGAACATTGAAACAAACCCGATCATCTTTGCTGGAATATCTACCAGCTTCACAGGATGAACTTCCACAAAGATCCATCAAGGTAAGTTGTAATTTAGCCATCAAGTAGTTTTTGTTTAAGATTAGTTATATAAAAAAAAAAAAAAAAAAAAAAAAAAAAACACTATTAAAGTGGCATTTTAAATAGGAAATCAAAACCAGGCATATTTTATTCAGATTTTACTTTGAAAACAAAATGGCATAAGCTGTTTTAACAACTTAGTAGGAATGTGTGTTGGTGATAAATTCCAGTTCTTTACGATAAGATTATGTGGTGTTTACTTATAGAAATGATGTCAGAAGTGTGTCGTTTTTAGCAACCCATTTTTAAAATTCCTCTATGGCTGTCTAAAAATTCTTGCTAAGCCTGTATTTAATGAGTGAAAGATAATGTATTCTTAATTTCTACTAAACATCATATTCATCAAATTCTTTAGTGGAAACTAGAACCAGAGCCATCAGGATCAATATTCCTAGCTCCCTAAATGTGTCCCCACAGGACTCTCGAGAGTAAGAATTTGTGATCGGTCTTACTGTACATTTTTGGTCTTTGAATATTATCTGTTAGGCTGGCTCTAAGAGGCTTTGAATATTATCTGCCTCTCTTAGCCTACAAAACCATCCCTCAAGAAAGACAGCCATAAATCAAACCATATCGAGCTAAACAATATAGGGTGCCAAAAGGTTCAAGGAAAATCTTGATAATTTAGTTATCATAACTCATAACTGAAAATATTTGTTACCACACTACTCCATTTTAATGGACTTTCCATGCAAGGATTTAGTCCAGAAAACAGCTGTTTGCCACCTGCTTGTAATGAATTTTTACCAGTCACCAGCTGATTATAACGGGCAATGAGTGGTTTTAAACGAAAAACATAACCTCTCTTAGAAGATAAAAGTAACTTAGTGATTGTTAAGTCCTTTGATCGGTGAGAATAACAGATTTTTACAGGATTTGTTATTTTTATTTTTTTTTTTAAGTTTAGTTGAGATTAGTATGGCAAAAATTATTGTACACCACTCGTCCAAAATGTGTTTGCCATACTTGTATGGACTCGTCCGGTAAACACCTATTTTCCGTACTAATAACGCACCAGTAATAGTAATATCAAAATTGAGTCATTACGCTACAGAACTAGGCTGTATAAGCATAAAGACTAACATGGCACAAGTTTAGATTATCATTATCAATGCTTTCTTTTCTAAAAATAAGCAGGACTACTAGATTATTGAGTCAGCAGAGTTTACTGTAGTTTAATTTTTTCTGTACATCTTTTATAAAATGCTTTTTGTGTAGGACAGTTTTCAATGTGCCATGATACCACTGAGCTCTAGTGTGAGTCTTCAGGAAAGATATGTGAGCATTCTAGGCAATGTGCGGTTCGGAAGGCTAATGGAAGATATGGATATATTTGCAGGTGATATTTCTATTTTAAAGTTATTAGTTGTGTCTAAACTTAACTGTTATTCTCTCCCCCTATACATTGTATGGAGAAAGTATTGTTTTCATTAAAATTTACGAATCTGAGTTTTGAGTGGATGTATCCATTTTGGGTCCCCCTGGACCAAAAAAAGTGGTTTTTGAAGTGACATCTGTATGTGTGGATGTGTAGAGAGCTACAGACTACACCTGTGATCCGATTTTGATTAAATTTGGTTTGTAGGTACTAATCCATGGTATCTCAAGGTGTTTTATCATTTTTTTTAGTTTGAAATTTAATGGTGATTTTTCCATAAAAGCTCACTGAACGGAAAAATCGGATTTTCTCAATATTGGTCAGATCAATGTTTATAAACATTTAGTATGTTGTAGCAATTTCAATTCTGAACAAAATGTTAGAACTCCCATTCCTGTAAAAATTACGGTTCAAAAGCTATTGTAACTTAAACCCCCAATGCCTAAAAAATTACAGTTCAAAAGTTATTGTAACTTATGTAATTTTCCCATAAAAAAATGAAAAATGGATAAAAAAACAGTTCTGATCCAAATTTGTCTGTCCTTATAATTCTAAACAAAATAGTGCAACCCCCATTCCTGTAAAAATTACGGTTCAAATGTTATTGCAATTTGTGATTTTTCCTATTAAATATCGTTACTCTCAACGCTTACCCATGATAAAGTTTGTTGACAAGCTAATTTAATAAAGGCTATTTATTTGGTTTTATTTGATTTCTCTTCCTAATGGTAGCTAGTTTTTCTAAGTGCTTTGATAAAAAGTCACTACCATTCTTTTAAAATGTAACATTTTTTGGTTAGTTCATGTAAGTTCACCTAGTTAAACAAGAAATATTTTATATCAATTTTCTATATGGTATAGTGGAAAATTTAAGAAATGTCTTGGAAGGTTTATTTAGTGATTATACAACACATTAACTGTTTTCAGCCTGGGTTGCTATGAATTATATCCATAATCCCAAGCAACCAGAGAATATGCCAACTCCATACGTCATTGTAACAGTACTAGTGGATCACATTGCATTCACAGACTTCAACCCGAAGGTCAGTTCATCGACTACAGTATAGTCTTGCTAATTCAAACCGATTGGGATTGGACACTCTTCTGATTATTTGATGGTTCCGATTAGACATGACTCAAAAATATATTATAGTACACTCTCGATTATCCGAGCCCCGGTTATCCAAGGTCGTTTTAGGCCTAAATTTGTTTTTTTTTTTATTTCCGGTCAGAAAACAATAATACTTTTTTAGGAATGTTTCTGTTGAAAGTAAAGTAAAAATAGCAAGTTCTTTGTGATTTCTTAAATTAATACTTTAAATAATGACAAGCTGCTATACCTGTGCTTTGCAACGGAAAGAAAATGTGACCTAGAGAGCTATTAAAGTGGTGCTGATGTGTGTTTTAAAATACAGCAACTCTATGATTTAATTTGAAAATATCAACTGATTTAAAAGCGTAAACCTACTTACTTTTAAACCCCTTCTTTTGATGTTAATAGATCCATAAGAATATGACAACATACCTTAGTGTAGCAATAGCATCAATTGCTTCATATTGATGCTTTATGAATGACATGTTTTACCATAATTCTTCAATTTTAGTCAAGCTTCTTCACGTGTAGCTTAGCCTAATATATAAATTTAAAAAATGAAACATTGAGCAATACTTTACTAAACGTATACAACCTCACTTTAAAACCAAACATAACCCTCCTCAATCTACATAAAGAGCCACAAAGATATTTTTCGAGTAAATAAACAAACACCAGTTCATTGTACTGACTAGCTGTTTCATTAACTAAATTAAATTAAATCATTTAAACATTGGAAGCATGCCAGGTGTAGCCCTTTCGAAATCAGCCTGTGGGGAGAGCCCTTAGGAAATTCGTCCATATCAATACTACACCCTAGCAAATCTACACCCTCTTAGCTTCATTTTGATGTGCTATTATGCCTATATTTTTATTTAGTAAATTACCTTAATCGTTTACCTACATAAAATTTGATTGTATCACTTTAATAATATAATAGATTATAGGTATTATTTTAACTTACAAATAATCTACAATAACCTAGATAACGAAAATCACACACAGTACTAAGTTGGCCGCTAACCATTAGTAAGCTAAACGAGTCGTCTGCAGAACCTCAACAAAAGCAGTACTGAGCATTTCTGCTCGGGCATTGTTGGCTTGTATCGCTTTTGTCATCACAATGTTTTTTGTGTCAAGCATAGTTCAAGTCAAACTTAAACAAAAATTAATTTTATACTTAAGAAACTGTAGGGATCCACCTTATTGTGTTATTATTTAATCCTGTTGAGCTTGGACTTAGCATAATTTAATAATAATCTGTATTTAAAGTTTTATAACAAGACAATTTAAAAAGTGTTAGGCATTGTTTTCCAACACTGCCTAATCTAAATAATTTTCCATTAAAATACCAATTATTGATCATTTTGTTTTCACTGTGCATTGTTATTAAAACATATACAACAAGTCTTTGACTTCTTATATGGTACTATAATCCCTAACCTCAAAGTGTGTTAATAGCCTAGGGAGAGTTCTATCCTCTATCCTCAGCATAATGTATCAATGTGACGGTTTTGGAACCGCTTTCCCTTAAAAGTGTTTGTGATCATTCTACAGGGTTAATCAGACCACCCATGCACATACTTTAACAGCCGCTTGTGTAATTCACTGACTCACTGATCAGTTATACAAATGTTAAACCCACTTCTAGAACAGCTAGGGGTCTGAAATTTTTTGTGGAGGTCCATCTCGGTCCCAAACCATCCAGAAAATCCAAAAAGTTACATTTTCAAATTACAACCCCCCCCCAAAAAATTCCCTTTACCCCCTTTTATTTTTAGAAAAATAGGTTTTTTTTACGGCTATAGCTTGAAAACGGCAAGAGCTAGCAAAGATTTGAAAGAATTTTCAGGAATTAAATTTTCCAGAAGATTCTCTTATGGATTTTTTTTTTAATCACATTCCTTCACCTTCAAAATACGCCCTACTTCTAAAATTTGTAAAATGTCTTGGATTTTCAACCGGTTTTTAATTTTTTAAATTACTTTTTGGACATATAAAAGAAAGTGGAATGAAAAGTGACAATTTAAAATCGTAATCCACTAAAAAAAATTTTAATGGTACATTTTCAATAAAAAGAGGTTTTTTAAACGCTTGTTAGGCCAAACCGTTGTGCACAGGTGGTCTGGTCCAACCTGTATACAAATATGGCACTGAGATACTACTCCAAAGAACGTCTTCTGCTAGGGGAGCGAAACATTAGTTGAAGAATGAATACCTCCGGGGTGGTATGGTAAATATCTTCCATGTTTACAATATCGCATAGCCAATGTCCTGTCAATGTTACAGCCGCAGCTGGATATCAGGGTGTCAGGACATGTGAGTCACGTAGGCAAGTCCTCCATAGAGACGACAGTGTGGCTGGAACAGGAGCACCTCGGAGAGTGGCATAAGATCACCACCGCTATATTCCTGATGGCAGCGCGCAACGCCAACATGACTGGTGGAGCTCCGGTCAACAGACTAGTGCCGGCTGACGAGGAGGAGAAAATCATCATCGCTAAGGCAGAGTGTAAGTTATGTTGTTTTTCTTTGTTTTAACTTGAAATTGAATTTGCTTGTCTCATAGAAATTATTTAGTTTAAAATCTGAATTCTTGGTGAGTTATCACTATTTCCAGTTCTGGCTTGAATCTTTCTATCTGCTTCCAAAATTAGATTAAGGCTAAAAATTGCTTCTAATATTTGTTAACACTTTAGGCACCAGTAATTTCTCATTGATGTGCTTTATTCATGTTTTCCCCACATCTTAAACAAAATTGGTTTTCTTTAAAGTATTAACTAAAAAGTAGGCTATATTAATTTTAATGAAAAAAATACTAGTCAGCTTATAAAATATTGTACATGAACAGTCCTCGAATGAATACAGTATCAAAGTGAAATCATTGAAATATCCTGGGGTCATGGAAAAATTAGGAACAGAGATATTGTGAACATTCTCTGCATTTATGGCAAAATCGTCAACCTCCTCTGCGGTCATGGAAAAACTGTAAACGTCTTCTACAGTCACAGCAAAATCAAAAGCAAGACACGCTGAATATGGGGAATATCTCCCACGGTCATGACAAAATCAAGAACATATTAATTGGAACAGATTAATTGGTAATCGTGAACGTCACTGCGAAATTGTAGAGGTCCTAGTTATGGCGAAATTGAGAACATCTGTGGTCACGGCAAAATCCTGAACTTATTCTACGGTTATGGCAAAATCGAGAACATCTTACTCAGTTACGGCGACAACATCGTCTTCCATGACCGCGGCAAAACCATGAACACTACATGCGATTCAGGCCAAATCGTCAATTTTTTATCCCGCATCTTTGCAGATGTTTTCTGCGTCTAGGGAAATAAGTTTGGCTCAACCTGACTCGAGTTTGGCTAGGAAAGACCTAATGGATCAACAGTTGACTATTAAGGTTAAGTTGACTACCTGCAGACTCCATTTTTTTTTTTTTTTTTTTTTTTTTTTTTTTAACAATTCAAATCCTGGTCTTGTCACTATCTCACAACAAGTTAGTTAGAATCATTAATTGATTGACCAGTGAAGCACTCATACAGTTGTACAATAATGCACGTATGTTTGTTTAGTGAGGAAGAAGCGTCGCCAAGTAGAGGACAAGGGCTCTGTACTGATACAGATGCCAGGTCCTGATGAACAGCAGGTGGTACACAACTTGTTTGTCAGCTCACTAGATCTTCACAACAACCAACGAGTGTTGCCTCAGGGCTGTGCATGGATGGGCGACACTAAGCGTTCTAACATCGTCTTCTCCCATCCCGAGGTATTCTCTAGATTAAATATAATGATTTGCAAGTATAACAATAATTTTCTTGTGTATTTCCTGATAATTACTTTTGAGAAAGGGTCTGAAGGCCAAATATTTTTGTTTGGGTTGGGTCAAAAATTTCAGCTCTTGATCTTGATTTAAAATTCGGTCAGACCCATAAAAAAAATTAGAAAGTTAAAATTTTTAACAGTACTAGTAATACTACTATCTGTTTAAAAAAGTATTGTACACGATCTCCCTATTATGGCGGTGAAATCTCAAACACCCTCTGTAGTCACAGCAAAATCATTAACGTCCACCTCAGACACAGCAATATTGAAAATTAAATGTCCCCCACGGGCACAGCAATATTGTTGACATCTTCCTTAGTAATGACAAAATTGTGAAAATCTTCTGTGGTCATGGCAAAATCAAAACATGTTCGGTGGTCAGAGCAAAATCATGAAAGTCTTCTATATCACTGCAATAACTTAATATCTTCTGCGGTCATGGCCAAGTCGAGAACATCTTCTGCAGACATGGCGAAATCGTTAAAGCCTTCTGGGTCAGGGCCACATCAATATCATATCCCACAATCGTCGTAGAATTTGATCATGTGTCTTCGAAGACACTTTCTGTGACCATAAAATAAAAGCTTGACGCAATTCGAGCTTGGCCTGAAAATTATTTCAGGCCTCTACCAACTCTATGGGCTCCATTTGAAAATACAGTAGACTCCCTCTTATCCAGACTCCTAAGGACCGAGGCCAGTCCGGATAACGGGTTTTCCGGTTAAACCGACGTCCACAAAAACTTGTTAAAACGGACTATTTACTGTGATAATCAACTTAAATTTAGGAGAGCATTGTATTTAGACACGTGATCACAGGTCTCAAATATTTCCCACGAGAACAGTCATTTCAGTACTGCCCACTTTCTGCCGATCTAGTCCGGTTAAGCCAATGTGCTGATAAAAATTGTCCAGTTAAAAAGATGTCATTTCCGCCAGGTGTAGTCCGGTTAAAAGGTGTCCGGATAAGAGGGAGTCTACTTTATCAGGGACCTGCAGACTCATACTTTTAAGAAAGCAACTCCTCTTAAGAGAGTAGTTTAAGCTGAAGAGAATACAAGTTAAGCTTTGTTACCTACTGAGGTGAGTTATTTCTTAAAACAGGATCATTTATTAAACACCCAATCATCAAGAATAGCTGGGCCCAGTTTTAAAATAACAAAATTAGAACCATGCATCTTTAGGGATTTCGATGAGCTGTCATAAAAACTTACTAACAAAATTGATTTAAAAAAAATATATATGAACCTAGTGTTTATATTCACCCACTCTTGTCTTTTATATTACTAGTTCTGAATTTTCAACTAAAAAACTCATACCAACTTCTAATACAGCTAAATTTCTTTGTTTAGAACCGCAACCTGCACAACAAAGTATTTGGAGGTTTCCTGATGAGACAAGCCCTTGAACTGGCTTGGATCGTGGGATATTTCCACAGGTATGTGAAAAGTTAAAAATAATAAAATATATAGCAAATAATTTTTAAATAAATAGTCGGAATAGAATGTTTTACATGTAAATTAATACTAAACTTATCAGTGGGGAATTGTTTTTTCACAGTGTTTACGCCTGTGGCATTTTAAAGGTTGGAATCACAAACAATTTTTAGTGTCTAAACTTCTCAATTTAGTTTTAGGCTGAAAATTAACTCTGTCGGTCTTGCAGAAGGTGCACATGAGACGGAGCCGATAGCCACTGTGCTAGCAACACACCCCATTTCATTTTAATGTAGTTTTGAGTACATCATAGAATAGCGCTCCTATTATGTGATATTTGAAAATAATTTTCTGCGCTACAAAGCTCCTAAAACCGAACTTGAAAATCTTACGCCTACCGTACTTGAAATTTTAGGACTACGACATTTGATCATCACTCTATTTTCACTGTAGATCCACCAGATAACTAGTTCAAATTTCAGTAGAAAAGAGCGATTTTAATCCAACGTTATTAGATATTGCAAGTAGACTTCCTATTGTAAATCTTAAACCTGTTTTGATGTGTGTTTTTATTCTTTATGACCTAACGTTGATGATAATGTTGTGCTTACAGCAAACACAGACCTAAGCTCTGCCACATCAGCGACATAAGCTTCAAGAAGCCAGTGGATGTCGGGTCTATTTTATCAATGACAGCCCAGGTGAGGGATTTTTGTAGTCAAATCTCATAAACTATCATCTTTTTTTGTTTATAAACTATCATCCTTTTTTGTTTAAAGGGTGTGTGAACCTAGACCCTAAAAAAGTATTCAAAGAAGCTACAGAAACCACCAGGATTAAATAATTTTTTAGAATTGTAATTTTATATGATTAAGGACAGCAACGTTATACCACATAGTTTCACAAACTATTATCATTCATGTTTCAATCAAAACTGTATAGCAGAGTATTTGGTATCTTAAGTGTATTGCCAATGTCATGAACGTTTTAGTAACTCATGAAGAACAAGTATTCTACAGACAACCAAGTGTTGGTCTTTGGGACATCAGTGTATCTTTGAACTGCCAAAAATAGCAGCCGACATTTCAGATACTCTTCAGCTATCCATCTTACAAGTTACAATTTAAATTAATTGTATGTTTTTTGAATGCAATAGTTAAATTCCAGCATTCCCTGAAGATTTATTTGCTGCAACACACCCAGAATGTCAGCCAGTATTTTTGTCAGTTTAATTACGTAATGTCTCAAAGACTAATACTCGATAGTCCACTTTAACCCTGAAAGCCAATATTCTAGTCCATACAGAAATCATTGGATTAACACCTTGAGTGTTGACTACATCAATTGATGTAGTCACACCACGAGCGCTCCCATCGGCCTACATCAATTGATGTAGTTGCCCAACCCCCACTACATTGGTTCAGTATGAGCTCAGCCAATGCCAGGGAACCTTAAAATCGTTGCTACCCTGTAGCTTAGGATGTGAGCTTTTTTTTGGTGTAGGTTGGGACCAAACTTTCCTGTAAAATCCCGTCTGACAATGCTTTTGTCCCGGTTTCGGGGATTTTCTCACTTCAAACCACCTACTACTGATCCACCTTTGCCAGTGCTGCTACCTTTGGGTGTTTCAGGGAACTATGTCCACTCTCGGGGTAACGTTGTACAATCACCGCTGCTCTTTTGATATTCGTGCGATTGCAATATTTGAATGCCAATTGCGTTCGCTGTTACAGCGCCGCGCCAGGGCTTCAGTCGGGCCTCGCCGCCATCGGGGAGCGCCTGTTTGAATGGATGCCACACTCAACTTGTTAACATAGCGTCTAAATAATGTAATACTTGTGTACAATATGTTGAAATCTAGTAAATATACTTTATAAGTCACATGCTTATTCCAGGTTATCTACACAGAACAAAACTTCATGCAGATCTTGGTTCGAGCTGAAGTGACAAATCCCTTCTCTGGTCAGACAACTACGACAAACATCTTTCATTACACTTACGAAGCCCCAGACCTGGTCAAGCCTGTCATGCCAAACACCTATTACGGTATGTTTTATATTTGCTAGGCCTACAGTATTTAACCCTGTTTTTCATTGTGTAAGGGAGTACAACATGGATTAACTCAGGAAAGATAGACGATCCGTCATTTAGCTTGTCGATTGTCTGACTTTGAATTACATAGTAAATGATTGCTCTTTGATAATTACTAGCCGATTGTTCAGTCAAAGTATAATCCAAGCTGGTCTTAATCACCTAGGGCTTATGATTTAGCGTTGTAAAGAGGAATATTTTTTTATTTAGATAGTATTTTAAATAGGGATCTCTGGGCTAGACTTTCATTTTTGGTTGGGTTGGGTAAAAAATATCAATTGCTTGGGATAATATTGATCATTATAAATATTAATTATTGTAAAACTACAAGGGGTTCATTTATAATGTGGTCTACCACATATCACAGTGAAATAGCAAATACCTGCGGTCACAGTGAAATTGTGAAAGCCTTCCGTGTTATTCAACAATCACAAATAAACTTTCAACATCACCCGGAATCACCGATCGCGATAATAAAAGCTCGCCTCGACCCAACCCAAGCTTACCTTACCTTACGTAGATGGCCACTCAATTCTAATCAGGTTTTTGGCCTCGCCAAAAGCTTTTCACCTTCTTCCATCAGTTCTTCCGTAAGATTCATTCTTCTCATATCTTTTTGAACTTAATCACACCACCGCAATCTCGGTATGCCCATTGGTCGCCTGCCTGCAGGAACTGCGTCTAAAACCACCCATGTTTCCTGCCCGTCTTAGTCTTTGGCATTTGATTAAAGCTATAATGTCTGGGTCCTTATATATGTCTCTCAACTCTTTGTTTGTACTTATCCTCCATATTCTACCTTCTACTATCGGTCCCAATATCCTTCTAAGTATTTTATTTTTAAAGGTTTTTAATCTCTTTTCAACATGTTAAGCTTGGCCCAACATTTATTCCCGAACTGACCCCTCAGGCTAACTGACCCCTAATTAAAAACCATTAAGGAAGATGTAGGTAAGGCTTTTTACAACTATATACTTAAGAGAAAGACAAGCAAAAATACCAACATAAAGGGTACTAAGCTTTATTGAACTTTGTGGTGGAAAGTATGTTTTTAACCAAACTGGTTTTTCCAGAGGCAATGATGTACATTGATGGACGTCGCCATTTCCAAGAAGTCATGGGACTCAAGTCTTTGTAAGACCAGTGAACTTCAAGCTTCGCTGTCTAAACTCAGGTTGCCTCAGTATTACCAATCCGCATAATCTAGAAATTAAAATTTCTGCAGCAATGTGGCAGGTACTTTTTTTCTTAAGAGGTGCTTTTTTGTGATAACACTTATAGGAAAATAATTTTAAAAACCACGCCGCAGCAAACCTGCGGACTAAGCGAATTTCAACTTGTCTGATTACATTATTACTAAAATATTTCCATAAATAAGACATATTTATTCACAATTTAAATAACATTATATTTAATGAGTGCTTAGGTTTGCTGCTACGGTAAAGGTAAAAGGTGTTTTTTTACCATACATCAATAGTATAGGATGAAATAAATAAATTTGCCAAATTTTATCAATATCCATAAACAAGTAAACTACAACAGTTAAGCTCTACAAAACGGTTTTAAAAGAAATTGCAAAATGTTTTGTTTGTAGAGTCAAAAATAACAAAAACCCATTTTTACCCCATAAAACACCGTTCCCATTGTCCGATTATGCTGGTCTAGGGACCTTAAAACAAAAAATTATATTGTTCCCGGGTCCAGGTCTTATCATGAGTACTACGGTAATAGCTTATTCCCTAAATGGGAAATTCGCTAAAACCAGGTTTTTATCCATTGCATCGATGTTGTAAGATTTATACGTATAAGTTGTTTTAACATGGTTGAAACTAGTGAAACAAATTCACTGTCGATTTCAGCTCTCTCTTTATGATACAATTAATTGTAGATGTAATTCATGTGTCAGCGTTTAAAACTAAGTCGCCACATCTAATTCAAACTTTATTTGAGCATGTAATAAGCACATCAATGTTTAAAATTTGTCAGACAAACAGACCAATATGAAAACATCCTTAAAGAAAAGATGTGCCTATAAATTATTATTGGTGAAGGTTACTAAAATAACTAGCCTATATATATTGGATAGTGTTGGGGAGACATATTTTATAATTGTCATATTCCCACATTTACTTTTTTACCCAACCCGCCATGTTACAATTCCCTATCCCAAGCGTGATGTAAACAACTTTTTAAAGTTTCCAAAACTCACTAGTGAAGTAATGAAACCCATTTGAATAGGTAACAATGAGTGCTCAACTTAAAAAAATATACCTCTATGGATGGAGCCAACGATGTTCAACGCTAGAAATCAGCTGTGCGCTTGAATTTTATCCTAACCTAGCTTTTGTTTGTAAAAGAACGTTACTGTTAGAAGATGAGTGAAATGGATAATGAAAAATATTGTACGTAACCTCCTGAACATTGTCGGGTCAGGTCAAATCTTGTACGTTACATGTTACGCAAGAGCGTCTTTGCATCACTTAGGTGAATTCTCCTTGTAAAAACGCTCTTACTACACTTGTAAGGTAAATAGCTATTAAACAGGTAATACAATTAAAGAAAAAAATAAAGATTAATTTTCTTTCTCTCACTAAATTTGAAGCAATAACATAAATTAAGTTATAGCCAAGCAAAACCATTAATTTCTCTGATGCAATAACCTATAGCTTTATTGCTTAGCTTTACCCTGTTGTGTGTTTACCCTGTGTGTGTTTACTCACATAGGGTTATTTGATCAAACTACTTTTATGATATTAATAAGAATAAGTTCCAGTATTATTAAGTTCCTGGAATGTTCTTTATAATTGTTAATTTTTGTTCAACAAATAACCTGGGGATTGTTTTACTAAGTAGTATTAACTTTTTGCATTTACAAATTAGTTAGGTACAAATAGTTTATTTACTTTATTCAGATTAAGTATTAAAGTATTCACTAGTTTTGTTGTGAAGATAATCATTGGAGTAAGGAATACAATAAACTTCCTCAGAATGGATCTGTTTGGTTTGGACTTTGAACAGCTTAAACAGTGAAATGTATGACTCTCACGATCATATCATTTTGTTCTTAAGTACCTACTGTATGTAAACAAATCACAACCTGTTTGTTAACTTTGACTATTGATACAACTATACATTCCATCCCCATTTTAAAATTGTCGCCAGACTTTTTAATCAAGATTTACATAGTTGATGTGAGCCACCAACAGATTGCGCTGATATAAATTATTAATTTCTGTTAAATACATACTTTCTTACCAAGTCAAACTGATGGACGACTTTTTGTGAGCTTTAACAACTGTTATGACCCATTAATGTCAGAAACCAAAAATAAGGACGAAAATAGAATTTTCGCTTCACTACTGTGAAATGACCTGTTTTCAATACATGTTTATCACCTGCGAAAATTCATCATTATGTTGTTTACTACGGCAAAAGAATGTTACCATGCAAGTAATGTTTACTTTTTTGGATTTTGCAGACGTAAACAAACAAAGATTTGTTATTGTTTTGTCAACTGTTTTAATTTGCAACAGCCAAAACTGTACAACCAAAGTCAATATTAACTGTTTCTTTGATATTGATGTTATAACCTGACAAATGCTATGAGTTTTGTAATGTTCAAGAAAATAATTAGTCTTTGTAGTGTAGCGAAAAGTAACGTTCAAAACACAGGTGAAAGTGGATAAATCTTGCACTTCAAACATGGTCTTAATGACTCACTTTCTACTCTTGTTATGAAATATACTATTTCGACACTAGCACATTCTGTGCCCGGCTCACACAACTATGTTATTTTTTATAAAAAAATGGCGACAGCTGGTCCATATAGATGGGATGCAAATCCAATCTTTAGTAGGCCTATCCAATAGTCAATGCTGTTAATCTAGCGCTGTTCACTACACATATTTATACATATATTTCTTAACTGTTCAAGTTCAATACATAAAGCAGCGTATAGACGTGGACAGTAGAGACGGCAAGTTGCTGGCTGCAAGTACTTGCCAGTTGCACTTACTGCATACTTACCTTGTGTATAGGGGTACTTTCCTTTCCAGCGGCAAGAAAACTCAAACATGTTTGATTTTACTGGCCTGGCCGCGGCAAGTAGTGGGTCACGTGACCACTGGCGACCAGAACTTTCCTCTCTAAACATGTACTTGCCATACACTTGCCGCCAGTAGAGCAGAGTGGCAAGTTCAATCAGAGTTGATCAAGTTTATAGAAGTGACAGTGTGTTTGTTTGAAATGTCAGACAAGGGCCCTGCTGAGAAGAAAAAAATCATTTATTAGAGCTGTGATGACATCACTAAGCTTTTAGAGATTTTTCAAAGTTATGAAATATTGTGGAACATACGTCATATTAACTATGGCAAAATTCTTCATGACATTTAGACATGCTCAACACAAATTAAATTCAAGTATCGACACCATTCACTCGCAAACTCAAAGCAGAATAGGAAAACATGTGGGAAGTGACGTAATGGACAGTACTTGCAGCCAGCAACTTGCCGTCTCTACTGTCCCCATCTATACGCTGCTTTAATGTAGGTTTTTAATAATTTTGCACACATAATCTGTGGTTTTAACAAGTATCCATTCATTTTTGAATCAATTTCTGATGGGCGGTTTGGGAGTTCGGTATTAGCGCTAGTCCGCGACTAAATCCAGATATTTCCGGTATTTTAGGCTGCCGCCTCGAAAACGGGTTTGTGAGCTCAGGATCAGTAAGGCGCGCGCCTAACTTGTGCAGGGATAATCTCGCGCCTAAATATTGTTGGTTTGGGAGTCAAGTAGACTTAGGCGCCAGCCCAAGAGATAGTCTCAGTGGGTTTGGGAGACCAATTTCGGGACTAAGAGATATGTTTTCGTCATAAAAATCAGTGAGTTTAGTCCCCAACTTTAGTCCTGCCAGGGGGCAGGTCTAAGTCGACATCATGCCGGTATTAGCTCATTAGCAAGTTAGTTGTTTACATATTAACCAAAAGAATGTTATATTGGAATTCGTTATTAAATTCTGAACATTTTCATTACTCTCAAAGTATATTTGATAAAACTTTTTTTTAAGTTTTCTGTTTTTCAAAATAAAACAAAAATCTTGCAGAAAGCTAAATTTAACGAAAGATTATTTGGTTTTTGTTTTTACTGTTAACTGCAATACAAATATGGACCCTAAATAGAATTTCTTTCAACTGAGAGTTTGGCTATAAGCACCCATACCTTAATTATAAATATTTTATTAGTAAGGAAATAATTAGCAACCACATGCATACCCCCCACTCACCCCCTACGAAAGAGTGAAGAGATAGTAAACAAAACATAAAAACCTGCAAATAGCTCACAGTCATAATCGTTATCTTTTAATTGTGTTGTGATAGAGCTCAGTTCAGTGTCATTAACCAAGTGCTAGTTACATCAAAATGGAGTACCTAGATTATTTGGAGTATAAGGAAATATATACAGTATATCAATAACCCGCCACAGAAAACCTGCAGACTAAGCGAATTTCCAAATAACCTAATAGAGCTTTCAATTAAATTTATTTAAATAACTTTAGGTTTAACAAGCACCTGAAACTACCTACGGTGTACGTATGCTGCTACAGGGAGGGTAATAAAGTGTGTTTTTTAACAAAATATTAACAGCTTTATAAAAAATAAATAAATTTGCCAAGTTTCATAAAAATATGTCCATAAACGACCACACTAGAACAGTTAACTTATTCTCCATAAGAATCACATGGGAATTTAAAATTTACAATTTTACCAATAGTCTCTGTAGCCAATAACCTTACAAAACATTTTAAGATATTAATTTGTATTTTATACTCTTTAAAATACTCTTCACTCTTTAAATTACTCTTTAAAATATTTTAAAGACAAAGATTTATGTTATAGGGGTTAAAATTGAGAAAAAAACTATTTTTATCCTATACAACTCCGGGTTCCCTTGGTCTGATCATGCTGGTTCGCGAACTCGAGAATCGCGCCTAACACTTTCATGCCAAATTTTATCAAAATCAGACAAAAATTACTCAAGTTATCACGTATATGGACGTATATATAATACATTATATATAGGCCATGCATATATAAAATTTTGAACGAACAGTGTTTTTGGCCTCTAGGGACATCAAAATGGAAAAGTTTATCGATCCCGGAACTAAGTGCTACCTACGGTAATAGATACTTCCCTAGGAAAATTGGATAAAAGAGTGTCATATGTAAAAAAAGATTTTAAATTGACAACAATTTTTTCTAAGTACTGTATTAAAAGATATTTTTTTACATTTACCTTGGCTTCACACAATCATAACCTCCGCAGTTACTTTTTATTATTTTTTTGTCAATACCCCTACATTATACTGGGAAATTACTGTTAATTTTGAAGCTTTTTATTGCATGAAACCGAGTTTCCGATGTTAATCCTATGTTGCTCTGTACGTATTTATAAGGTGGAGTACTTAAAAGACAAATAGCAGTACTTAATGACAACTGATTAAATAATTATAAATCGTAAAGTGAAAATAAAGTTAGATCTTAAAAGAATTTAATATAAACAATTACGGTTCTTCAGTCATTGGGATGTAAAACAACGATCTTACAAAACTACATTTTTGCAATGGTACAATGCAGAAACATACACCATAGTCTACTAATTAGCCACCAATGATATACCAAGATAAAATTGTATCCATCTTCAATAAGTGTTCATCTTTTGTTGTTGTCAACGGTAACGGGTTCTGCAATGGCCGTTGCCAACGTCAAAACCTGAATTCCCCGCGATTCCCTGTCCATCTAGCCGCGCTACAACTTAGGCGCGACTATACTTGTCTACGACCATTTCAACTTAGGCGCGAGCTTCCAAGCCTGGTTTCTGGTCCGGGGACTAAAGTTAGGCGCGTCCAACACTAAGCGCGTACTAGCTGGGCTCGAGCTCCCAAACCGCCTCTAAGACTTTTTGTAGTTTTTGACATCGTTCCGATATTGAACATTCTAAACTAAATGAAGTTAACTGCAGGATTAAATGTTTCGTATAAATTATTTCGTTTTATGTCATTTTTAACTTTACTTTTTGACATATTTTTTAAATGTTTATGATCCATAAAATAGTTGCAAAGCAATGTTTTCTGCTATTTTGTTTGGTAAGGAAAGGTTTTGCACAACCCTAAGTGCTATCTTTGTTTTGTATGAATGTGTTATTTTTGTAAATTTCAATTTTTTACTAGGCTAGTTAAATTAATTTAATCATGACACAAATGTACAAACGTTTTACTGAAAAGCTTTATTTCGTGTTTAAATAAATTGTATGTATTAAATGTTTATAAACTTAACCCTTTACTTCCCATAGTATCCTTTTTGATACATATTATTTCTCATTTTTTTACCTCTCTGTAGGTAGAGATTTGAGTCTATACCTCTATGCATTTGGTTTCTAGGCTTATTAGAAAGGGTATTTAATTTTCTTAGTGTTGGTAAGCCTGCGAAAAGAAGAAAAATTTAATTTCAAAGTGATGCAAACCAGGTTGTTGATAAATCTTGAAATTTAAGATTTTCAAGATAAGATTTTTTATGTTTATAATTAGTTAGGGAACTGGGAAAAATTATGTTTCACTTCATTGCACCTTTAGCAACTGAAATATACATAGAATTACAGTCTTCTGTTACTTACTTTTTATATATTTGGTATAAAATAAAATAAAATAACTGAATCCAAATGGATACTATGGGAACACAGAGTATGCTGACAATATTTAAAGAGTCCTTTGTGCTCCCATAGTATCCTTTTGGATACAGGTTATTTTTAATAATAGCTACGGTGAGTCGTCTGTGTTCCCATAGTATCCATATGGATACTGATTTTCTTTTGTATTTTCTTCGATATAAGTCTGTTTTTTAAGTCTGCACAATGATAAATATAGGCCTATAAGTGTTGTAATGCTTGTTTCAGACCAATATTATTAAAATCATGATGTGTCTTACAGATGAATGACAATGAAGAAATTGACGAGTGGCTTATGATGCCATGTAGTGATATTGTAATAATTTTGTTTACATAATAACTCTATTTCTACTCATTCTAAATAAATTTGTTTTAATTGATGAACAAGTAACTTATTCTTCAATTTGATACAACTTTTAAGAAACTTGTATCCATATGGATACCATGGGAGTGTCAAGGCAAAATTAAAATTATTAACTTATGAAAATTAGCGAACAATGGTACTTTAGGTTTCCATGGTATCCATATGGATACATATTTCTAACTTTTAATTCTATGAGGGAAAATTAAAAAAAAACACATGTTTAGCCTTAAAATTAAAAAAATAAAAATAAAATTCACAATAAAAGTTTTTGTTTTTAAATTTCATAATCCCGGGAAGTAAAGGGTTACGGTAAGTGTTTTAACTTAAAATTAAGTGTTCATCAAAATATGTATTTATAATAAACTACAATTAATTAATAATTAATAATTGTTCACTATTCATTCACTAGCCTACAAAAAACTTTATTTTTTGTTTTTTAAATATCAAGTAAAATTTATTAGTATTGTAACCACTAAATGTATGTTACACAGCAAAAACTCTGCATTCCCAAAACATATTTTTATCCTTTAATATTTTGAAATGACTGGAAATAAATATTATAATTTAAGGTTTTTGTGAAAATAAATGTTTGGGAAAAATAGCAATAAAAACCATTTTAAAGATATTTATAACTATTTATATTTAACTATCATTTGTCTGTAAATGATATTTAGACGATAAAACACCAAATTTGTTTCTAAAAGTATGTCTAGCTTTGTTTTGTGTACCTAACTTTTCAGCTATTTGTACTTATCTGTGTTTTGTACTTGTTAAACTGGTAAATATAAATATTTTACAAAGTCATTTGTTTGAAAATCTATACATTTAATTGGCTACATGGAAAGTTTGTTCCCGATGAGGTTTGAATACCTACCCCCGCATTTTATATCAAAACATGTGTCTGGGTGTGCAGATTTGCAAACTGTCTTAGATTTTCGACTCAAGCTATCAAGCTCAAAAAATCGCCAATCGTTACCTTTTCATGTTGTGTCACAAAAATTTGGATAAATTGCCACAACCAGATGTAAACACATTTCAAAGGCAAACTTTGATATACTTGACTCTTTGATTGATAATACCATTATAATAAGTAATATTTCAATCAGATTGTAAGCCTTTACAACCCTTTGAACTCCAAAGGTTGACACATCGGATGCAAGATTAACTTCCAAAAGTCCACCTACTATATAAATGTGAGAATAGCTCAACAAAAATGGTTTGAAAGATACATGTTAGTCCAGGCAAATTAGATCAAATATAGGGTGTGCTCCCCAAAAAATCGTCTAAAGCTGGAAAGTGTTTTAATACCTTTTGGGGGTCCCAAATAAGACTCCTGTGAGTTTGCGACGGATTCTGACGTCTGCTTAAGTTTTGGGAGTCGAAAAACTATGAAAATTTTGCACTTTTTTCAGTTTTTCGCTTATAACTCCTAAATAACGAATCCTAAGGAAAATGTTGTTCAAAGGTGTCTTTTAGTGCATTAAACTCCGCGTCGATTGATGTTAAATACGTCAAAATCGGCCGAGCCGTTTAGCCGCTGTAGCTTTTCAAAGTTGGGATATTTGCATCAACATGGCCAAAAGGTTGATTATTTGACCAGTTTTCGGCTTACAACTCCTAAACGACGCATGCTATACAAAAATGCACCTGTAGTTAGTTTAGAAAACACAAAATTCTGCATATAATGTTTTTTTTATTAATCAATAACGGCAATTGATTGTTACCTACTTTGTATGGTCCCCATTTCATTGAAAAAAGTATTAAAGTTAAAGTTGGGAAATTTTACTAAAATTGGTAACAACATAGATCCTGTCCTTAAATGGATTATGAATTATTAGATAGTGGTTTATTCCATGATGGTCATCCAGAGGATTATCTAATAAGGTGTGATGAGAGTAAGACCCCTTACGTAATTTTAAGTCTAATATTGTTGTCTGAGGTTCCAAAAATTCTAAGATTCATTCCAACCACCCATTATATACGATCTATCCCTGTATTCATATTTCAGTTTTTGGCTTACATCTTCTAAAGCATGCTATAAAAAAATGTTCCTGTAGTTAGTTTGAAGAGCATAAACGTCTTTGTAGAATGTTTTTCAATTCATTAAGATCGACTTCACCATTTAACCGCTATTGATTGTTAACACTAGATCAGATGCTTGTCAAGTTTCCGAAGTTTAAAATCTAACCATTGAAATCTGGCAAACAACCAGCCTAATTACCAAAAACATAGGGGATATGGCAGTGAATCTATCCACTAGTGTGACGTCATGGATCCTGCAGCATGGCCTTTGAACAAGTAAGTGCTCATGAGAGCAACATCTTACTGTGGAGAGCTTTTCCGAGATAGGGGAATCAATGATGGGGATCTAGCTCGATGGTTCGCTGACAGGCCCATCGCAGTGAATGCTACCCATCAAATTAAGGGATATTGTGGGATCACCTCATCAACATATTATCAGCAAGTTGACAATATAAACTCCACGGATACGATGGGATCAAAAAGAAATTCATCAAATGGTTCCAGTGTCACGACCCATTTACTGAAAATAGTTCGCTCATTTCAATCAGCTCAGCAGTTATCCCATATGATAGCATCAACGCGAGATATGTATAAAGCATAATGAAAAGGCACAGCTTGCAAGAAAATCGTAAATATAATAGGCAAGCCTACAATGACCATAAACTGTGCAGAATAAAAGGAAGTGGTGACCTTAATTGCGAGCTGTGATGGCAACAGCAAAGATTAAAGAAGAATCTGCCCCCTCAGTCAGCACGTCATATCCACATTAAATCCAAGCCTCAATTTGAATCATACTTTGGATTAAAAATAGGTCCGTACCAACTAGCGCAGTTTGATGAAGAAAACGTGATGTAGAAGAGTCGAAAATCTAACTATTCATGTAGCCTAAAACTACTCATGCTGTTTACTCCAATCAATGTAGATCTCACTGTGTTCTGACGGGTTACAACGCTTGGCAAAGTTGCAGAAGCAGGTTGGCCCTATAGTTGGGAGCATAAAATATCCAAATCAAGTGAGGGTTGGTCTCTTCCAGAAGACACTTTCAACTAATTTTGACTTTGATTCTAACAAAAGAGAGATAGGTATGGAAAATTAACGCCAATGGGTTAACTCCCATCACTACGGTTAATCCACCGGTTCGACAAGAACTTCTCAACTCCGTCTACCTATCTCGACTATCGTGTACCTGTTAAAAAAGGTTTACATTATCTTGCTCCTTTTGAAATGCAGGGATATAATGCACTACTGTCTAAAAGACTTGCAAGGGGCACGACTATCTCAATTTGATATCTGACGAATAAGATGGTACCGAATGTCAACATTTGTGGCAAGACCAATAAGAGCAAAGAATGAATCCTTATTCTTAAGATTCCAATTATTATGAGATGTAGAAAAGTTATATGGTAAAATCTACGAAAACTCCCAATCGTTTTTTTTAATAGGCTAAACACATAGTAAAACTATGTACATCTGTCCCATTATCATCTTTTGTTTATTAAGCTAAAAAATAACATTTTTGCTATATTTAATAACATCTTTATTGTTCTAATATCTTATTATATATTAAAATCGCTTAACACCATTTTGGAGTGACCAGAGATGGGATTGTATAAATGGGAGCTTAGGACGAATCCTAGAATTTTTGTAACCCCAGATAACAATATTAGATTTAAAATGACATAGGGGGTCTTGCTACCCTTCCCTTCACCCGTTCTTGGATAAACCTCTGGATGATAACCATAGAATAAACCACTATCTAGTAATTCATAATCATAATTCTACGCCGAATTTTTTGTTTTCCAAACTAACTACAGGTACATTTTTGTATAGCATGCGTCGTTTAGGAGTTGTAAGCCGAAAACTGGTCAAATAATCAACCTTTTGGCCATGTTGATGAAAATATCCCAACTTTGAAAAGCTACAGCGGCTAAACGGCTCGGCCGATTTTGACGTATTTAACATCAATCGACGCGGAGTTTAATGCACTAAAAGACATCTTTGAACAACATTTTCCTTAGGATTCGTTATTTAGGAGTTATAAGCAAAAAACTGAAAAAAGTGCAAAATTTTCATAGTTTTTCGACTCCCAAAACTTAAGCAGACTTCAGAATCCGTCGCAAACTCACAGGAGTCTTATTTGGGACCCCCAAAAGGTATTAAAACACTTTCCAGCTTTAGACGATTTTTTGGGGAGCATATGTCTAATTTGCCTGGGCTATGTGGCATGTGCTACAGTTTGAGAGTCAATTTTAGAGCTACTAATCAAATTAAACTACCCTTTAGATTTTTTGTTTAATTAGCCCACCCGTACATAAGGCATTTCATGACACCAAAACCCAGTTTTGAAATAATTGAGTTCATTAGCAGGGGCGGCTCCAGAGGGTAGGCCGGGTAGACCCGGGCCTACCCAAAATTTGGGTTAATATTATAAAATTATAATTAGGCCTAAATAAAGAAATGATATTTAATAAGGAAAGATAGGTACTTGCAATTGTCAAGTGAGTTATAATAGCTAAAAGTGATTTAGTTAAAATTTTAAACTGCGTTAGTTTATGCTCCTGACTGGCCAATGGCGACTGCTCGACGCTCGTTCGTGGACTGCGTACTGTACTCGCTGTTGATGGTGTCTGAGTCTGACGCCAGACTGCTCCCGCTCTCGCACTCACACAAAACAACACACTGACTAGTGACTACAGAGACACGCAGCCGCTGCCCGCCAGGGGCGCCACTGTCAGTGTCACTCAGTAGTACTCGATGACAGCGAACAACAAACTTAACCTATATGTTGCCGTAACACACAAGTTAATCGTTATTCTGCTCTTCGAACTTGGTTCTTATATTGTTTTTGTGCACATTCGTTTATTAAATAGTGTTTTGTGTTCTAAACTAAAAGTTCTGTGCCATGGAAAAGTTTTTAGTGAAATTTAAAAAGGCTTCATCTTCATCAAAGACGAACAATGAACAGTCCATTAGGCCTACATGTGATGATGATGGTGAGTCTTCCAGCACTAGTTCCAATGTTGAAAAGTCAGTTTTAGAATTAGATGACAATGACACTAATCTGCCTATTTGTAAAAAGTTAAAAGTAGATGAACCGTCCATTTCGACTAGTAACCAAATTAGAGGTCCACTAGATCTTAGTGCATGTGCTTCTGACGGACCCAAACAACCGATGCTTAACTTCCCTAGGCGAAATATATCAGGAAAGCAAAGGTCTTTCCAGAGCTTTTGGTATTCTCAATATTCCTGGATAGAATACTCAATTGAAAATGATGCAGTATTTTGTTTTTTTTGTCGACATTTTTCTATTCTCAGAAAGGAAGTTCTTACTTCAGCCGGATATAATGACTGGAAAAATATAAGGAAAATGGCAGAAAAACATGAAAACTCTAATGCCCACAAGCTTTGTTTAACAAAGTACAAGGGATGGCTGGATTCTCAAAAAACTGGTGCTGTTTCAGTTAAAATCAATGAACAAATGGCCCAAACAGTAGAAAAAAATAGAGAAACTCTGAAGACACTTGTAAGAAGTGCATTGTTCTGTGCCCGCCAAGGCATTGCACTGAGAGGACACAGGGAGGTACAACCTGGGAAAGCTCATGAAGATCCAGATGACAGTGATGACTCAAACGATTTATTGGAAGACCGCCCCGAAAGTATGAATCATGGAAATTTTCAAGAATTGGTCAATTTGCTTTGTATGGAAAATAGCCAGTTCAATAGTAATTTAAAAAACCTTCCTGGAAATGCCAAATATACCTCTAAGACTATCCAAAATGACCTTTTAGATGCAGCCTCAAATGTAGTCACTCGCAGCATTGTTAATGAGATTAAGTCTAGCAACATATACAGCATTATAGTTGACGAAGCTCGAGATGAAGGAAAAAAAGAGCAAATGTCTATCTGTTGCCGTTACATACATCAGGCTAAGATAAAAGAGAGGTTTCTTGGGTTTGTTGAGTTACAAGAGCTCACAGCTGAATCTTTAGCGATCAAGATATTAAGTTTCTTGGAATCAAATGGTCTAGATATTAAGAATTGTGTAAGCCAGTCGTTTGATGGAGCATCTGTCATGTCGGGAAAACTTAATGGAGTGCAGACATTAATCAGAGAAATGGCAAAGAATCCTTGTCCTTACGTCCATTGCCATGCACATAGACTCAACTTGGTCTTGGTTGACGTAGCCAAGAATGTGCAAATAGTTAGGGAAACAATTGGCCTATTAGAAGCAATCTATGCATTCCAATCCAGCTCCACACTACGTCATGAACTCTTCATTTTCTTCAAAGAGACTAAAACAGGCAAAAAATCAATTACAGTACCTCAACACAGCGATACAAGATGGGTAGCAAAGTATAAAGGAGTAGAGTTCTTTAAGAACAATCTTGACTCTGTCATTAATGCTTTGAAAAAATGTACAGAAAGTTCAAAGCCAAGAGAAGCTGCTGAGGCTCGGGGCCTCTTGATCCAAATACAATCGTTTAACGTGGCTTTCACTCTAGTTAGCCTTGAAGGTGTCTTAAAAATTGTGAATATCCTCTCAAAACAACTTCAGTCCTCGACCATAGATGTTGGCAAGTGCCGAAAGCTCGTAAAAGCAACAAGAGATCAGTTAGAGGAGTTGAGATCTGACGCAAAATTTGAATCCTTTTTTCAAGAAACTGCACAATTGTGCAATGATTGTGAAATCGATCATGCAAGGGCAAGAGACACTGGCCGCCGTAAACAGAATCCAACAGCAAGCCTGGAAGATTATTTCGTCACGGAGACTACTGGGAAGGGACGATACACACAGAAAGAAAATCCTAAGACAACATTGAAAGCAGAGTATTTTCATATTCTTGATAATATGATATGTGAAATGGACAAACGGTTTGCCGAAAATGACATTTCAATTGCTTGTATTTCAGCCTGTAACCCAAAGTCACACGATTTTTTAGACCCAAAAGTGTTGTGTAACTTCTCAGAGCTGCACGGGAAAGACTGTGACTTCACTTCTACCTTGAAAGTGCAATGTGATTTAGGTAAAACAATGTTCAAAGAATCTAAAAGTAGCATGGACGTGTTGAATGATTTAGCCAACTTCCCATCTTTCGATGAACTAAAACAAGTAATGACGATCGTGTTGACAATGCCCGTCTCCACAGCTACTGCTGAAAGGTCATTTTCTACTATGAGGAGAATTAAATCAAACTTAAGGGCTACAATGACGGGGAGGAGACTACACAGTTTGGGAGTGTTATCTATTGAAAAGGAAGCAAGTTTAGAACTTCTGAACAACCCTGATCCTGTAATTGATGAATTTGCTTCTCAGAAAGGCAGAAGATTGCAGTTTGTAATGAAATAAACAGTTTGTTTGAATAATGATCACACAAATTATTTACTTATCAGGCGAGCTGAATTCTGAACTGAGTGTTATTACTATGTTGTATAATTAATTTTGATTAAAATATTATTAATGCTAGTAATAGATATGTGACTGTTATAGGCAATAAATGTTTTCTTTAAAAACCACCGTTTTTCAACTATCATAGTGTATTTCTCTAAATATTTTTTAAACTAACAAAATTGGCATCCATACATAACGATAAACAAAATATTAAATGCAATTTTCAAACCATTTAAAAAAAAAACTAGATACTAATAAAATATATAAAATCCAATGTATGTTTGTATGTTTGTCCTTTATGGACTCCGAAACCGCTCGACAGATTGTAATGAAACTTACAGGCATTATTAAGCATAATCCATTATGCTTAATTAGGATTATTATTCAAGGGTGGTTTGTGTGAAGTTTGGTGCAGATCCGTCAAAAGGGCTCCGCAATAACTTATTAACAAACATATGTCAATAATTCCCAAAGCAATAATAAAATATACAAATTTACTAATTTTTTCTAAGTACCTTTTGATAGCGGACCTTAAAATGTGATTTTTTTTACAATTAACATTTTATATACAACTAAAAAATCTCTTAATTATGTCTCTAAATGGCCTAAACACTCGATTTTACAGGTCTAATTTTCAAAAATTTTTACCCCCCGGTCTTGTCCCTGTGTTTGGCCTACCCAAAAAAATATTCCTGGAGCCGCCCCTGTTCATTAGATGAGAAGAAACAGAAAGGACGATGAAAACCGTCTGAAATCAATTACTTTAATTTTAAAATCATTGAAGCTCAAAAGGTAAAAAATTACAATAATACTACAATTGAATTGAACAAATGAAAGTCTGACACTTTTTGTTTACTTTATATATAGGCTATTTACCGTACCACGTATACAATGGTCCTACAAAAAAGAACCTCGTGGCATTATTAAAGTGTTTATCGAGTTTTTTATTTTTTTCCTTCATGGGGCTGGGGTATTATTACCCCTTGCTACCTTGACCTACAAGATCTTTTGTAGCACCCTTTTTGTTTAGTCACCCAACCGAAGTTTCCTTGCGAAGCCAATCAGTTGGTGCACACCCATTTCTCGTATTTCAGTAGGCATCGGGAATGCCTTTCCTAGGTGTTTCAACCTTTTCTGGGCTATCGCCGGATATTCCAGCCATATGTGCTCAGCTGCATAGAGACAGAATCTGCACTGGTCTGTCTGTCTAAGCCCTATTGTCTTGAGGTACTTCCTTACATAGCCATGCCCTGTAAGTAGACCTATCAAGAGGCTTATTTTCTCCATTCCTTACTAAGAGGATTGATGAGCATCTTTGATTGTCTCAGGCCTGGGGTATTTTCCCAAACCTTTTCCTGTTGTCCCTTTGCCCAGGCTAAAATTTTTGATTGGCCCTTGCTCACTGGGACTCCGCAGCATGGTTCAGGCCCAACGAGTTCGGATTTTGCCCCCTCGCCCGCCAGGACGTCAGCCCTTTCGTTGCCTTCGTGCCCAGCGTGACCTGGGATCCATGCAAGTTGGACTCTGTTGTGTTCGCTCAGGGCCTTGAGGGTGTTCCTGCAGCTCTGCACAACTTTAGATTCCACCACGCAGGCGTCGATTGCTTTGAGAGCAGCTTGGCTGTCTGAGAGGATAAGCACCCCTCTCCTCTTCAGGCCTTTATCCAGCTGCAGTCTCGCACAATGCTCTATTGCCATGACTTCCGCCTGGAAGACAGTCGGCGTTTCGCCGAGGGCCTTTGAGAGGTATGTTCCAATCCCATACACTCCAAGTCCCGACCTGCCCTCCCTCCGCGATCCGTCTGTGTAAAACACTATCGCCGACTTCCCTGTTTTATCCCTTATCGAGTTGAAATATACTGTAAAATATTCTCAAAGGTCCAAACTATGCACTGGCTGAACTGAAACTTCGTAATTGTTTCTTTAAGTATTTACAAAATTGAAAATCATTTTGAAAATCGGTAAATTAGTCTGTTTCATATGCGATTTTAACTTCAAAATAATAGTTAAAAATTATTTTTTCTCTACGCACTGCAAGCTCTGATATGTTAAGAGCACAACAAGTACAAAATCATTGAAAACAAATTTGTTTTTAGAACGTTGAGAGCTTGTACCATAGAGGCATGTTCAGGGACATAAGCATGCTTAGTCGCCATCTTGAATTGACCGAGTAGAACCATTGACTATATTGGTAGAACCCTCTGTAAAGGAAATCTTGGGATAAAAAATAATCAGCTGTGTCTTCAGATGTTTATTAAAGCAACAATAACAACAAGATAATTCCAGTGGAATCATTATCACTTAAAAAACAATTAACTTGATAGTTAAAATTTCAAGTACATATTTCTTGGTCTTTATGTGAAGGACTTACTTGCTAACAAACTTTTAGTTTACAAAAACATTTATGGCATTAAAGCGCAAAATGGTTTTAGTATTACATGTTTTGTAAATGTAATGTTCAACATATTAAACTTACGCATTTTTATAAAAAGGTTAGAAAGAACGTAGCTTTAAACCTTACGATTATACAATGACAAAGTTTGGGTTCAGTTTCAATAATCATATACTAAACACTTGCAACTAACCCTTTTAAGATCATGGACATGGCAAGATTATTGTATTGTAGGTTTGGTCTGGGTTTTTATAATGATAAAACATCAGTATCCTAATGGTAATGATATTGAAATAGCACTTGTTTAATTCTTCGGTTATTACTTATCTAGTTATATTGTAAAGATGTCTTCTGTTTTTACATCCTATTTATAGTCTCTTGAATGAACAAAACTTAAGAACATGAGTTTTGGTTTAAGTTTACAGTATTGGCATTATTTAATTAGTAAGATCTTAAAACAAAGTGAAAATACAAATATGCATGTGTTTATTAAACTTTATTTCCACGATACGTACATGATCTCTTTACAACGCATAAAAATACAGGAATTAATATTGTCCCCACATATGCAAATCCTGTGCATGGTACATGGTTTTAGTTTCACGATTGAAAAATAAACAAATACCTAGACAAAAGGATACTTTGGTATTATCCGAAGGCCACCTTTATACAGCGCGCTGCTGCGGTTATGTTAGGTTGGTTTATCATAAATGGAAAGAACATAGTTTAATTGACTTACTGTCCATATTTGACATTATTACAATTAGCGGCCTTTGAGTTCCGCCTCCCAGAAGGCAGCAATTTCGGCGAGGATTAAGTTGAATGCGTCGCTGCAAAACCAGATACAGGCGGTGACAGGTGATGCGTGCGCTCCGGTCAACGACTTCACCTTGGCCTACTTGAAGGGCATTTGGCGAGCGAAAGTCTGACTCATCTGGTTTGATTCATAATGAAATGAGGAAAGTCCTACAAACATATTTATGATAACCCAACCTAAGATAACCGCCGCAGCGCGCTGTATAAGGGTGGCCTCCGGATAATACCAAAGTACCGACAAAAGTGCACATACTTAGACGTAATATTTAGTATTATTTTTAAAATTTTACATGTATATGCAGACATGTTTATTTCGAAATGTTTCTATCAAGGATATAAATACATAATTATTCTTATAATCTTAGAGGTTACAGATGAATGATTTTGGATTGATAGTTACAAAGTTAAATAAAGCTTAGTATGAGATGGCTAAGTATTAAAGTATTTGAATTAATATAACTAGTTTTTTCTTCAGACGTTTCATCAATATCATCTTACTACTAGATTGTAGACATTATTCAGAAGAAAAAGTTTAGTACGAAATAACGATGAAATATTTTATACTGGTGAATTGAAGTTGTGGAATTATGTCATAAATGTATCACATGGGCTACATAAGACCAGAATATCAAGGTAGAAAGATGAATATTTCTGTATGTTGAGAGCCAAGAAACTCATTGTTAAATTGGATGAATAAGACTGACAGCACCAATGGGAACTAACTGTCACTCACCTGAAGTTCTACTGCATCACCACATTTTCATGCAGTCACCTCTCGTCTTGTTTTCTGATGTCTGTATTCTGGTTATTTTACGTAATACGATACAAATTTTTCACTTTTTGTGAACGTTCTTGACTCATTTTTTTACCCATACAATATTTATTTCAAAAAAATGATCAAATCCCTCAAAACATTGTGATACAATTTGAACCTGTCAATCCTGCACCAAAGGCAAGGAAACACGCTAATGCTTCGAGGGAACCAAATATACCTATAGAAAAAACATATTTTTGTGTTTTGATTGTGTTTAAGCAAATCATCAATTTACATAATAAACATTATTATTTGAAATTTGAAATGTATTTCACTGTTATTCAATAACATAAACGACAACTGTAAATTACATTGTATAAAATTGGGACCCTAATGTATTAAATATAACTTGTTGTGATATATTTAGGGTTTGTGAAACTAAACTAAATTCAGTGCCACAACTAATATTGTTAGACAGTTACAATTTTAAACTTAAGTATTTAATTTTTTGTAATCAGCTCTTTTTGTAAATTGTTAAAACCAAATCAAGAACACAAATTAACATGTTGAGTTTGATTCACAGCCTTCAATTGAAAGACCTAGACCCTAATCTTCATTGGCCTATAAATTTAAATTTCATAAACTATGTATTAATAACAAATAAACTACAAACAAGCAGTATTTCTTCTAATGTTCTTTCCTATCCTTAATAATGTGTTTAAACCTCTGTTATCTTTATCTATAATAAATGGACATTTAACTATAATCAGTTTTGTTACAATAAACCACGTAAAATAACTTCAAGTTTATTGGACACATTTTTCGTACAGCTTAAACAATACTATCTATACAATTTTGTGTATTAAAAATAAAGTGTTGGTCAGTGGCGGCGATAAGAACCCACGGGCCCCCCCGCAAGTTTGTTCGCCGAGCCCCCCTCTCCCCAAGATCTTTAAAAAAAATTTCCCATGTATTACCGCCTAAACTTGCAATTTTGCAATAAACTTGACAAGGCATCTCCCGAGGCGTCATTATCCTCTTCCATGATCGCGGCAAAATCGTAAATACTTCCCGTAGTCATAAGTCATGGAAGAAACATTATCATAGTTTACCGTGATTGCAAATGCAACCAAACCTATGACATCATTAGATAGCAGTATCATCGTCTCCCGCGTTCACGGCCCAATCAAATATCACGGCCTAATATCTCCCCGCGATCCGTCGGTGGTAACGGGTAAATCATTATTCCGTAATCGCGGCTAAATCCTAGATATATCTCTCGCTAAAAAAGAAACGTCATTATCGTCTTCCGCAATCGCGGCAAAATATTAAACATCTGCAGCCGCGGAGACATCATCATCGTCACCCACGGGGAAATGTTCTCGTCGATATCCACAAACGCGGCAAAAGCGTAGGCCTAATCTTTCAATTTCCTGAGCGTGATCCTCACGGATATAAAAGCTTATACTTTTATTTGTGCATTATTGTTTTGAATACTGAGAAAATCGGCTCGAGCTTGATTTTCTGACTTTGTGCTTGATCTCTCAAGCTTGTAGTCCAGGCTCTGTTCGGCTCGAAAATCGACATTATAGGCCTATTATAAAAATCAACCGTTTCAAAAGAAACCCGATTTTGAACCGATCTGATTTGGCCTGAGGCCCTTAGGTAAGTAACATTTTTTACCTGACTTGATGTAAACACATCTAAAGTGTGAAGTAAACAAATCTAAAGGGCAGCCTCCTAATAGTAAGACATGAAATGAAATGAAAATCCTTCTTTAGCATCAATGAAAGAATGGAATTATTTATTAGGTAGTGCCCTAGCCACCTAGGTTAATTTGCCGATTTGGTCGTAACAAAATTGTCAAGTTTATTTAGTTGAATCAGCATAGAGGATCCTCTATGGTGTCACCCGCTGGGGGCTAGGAGGATTAACATTAATGTTTTATCTTCCTAGGCCAGAGGCCATCACATTGGTTATAAATACGGCCCTATTATTATGCAACTAATTTTGACTGCGCAATCCACGAGGACAGTTAATGCAACCCGCATGACTGATGACAATTCTTTTACTTAGGTTGGTAGATAATTTATATCGATCGGTCAAGTAATAGTGTTAGTTTAGCTGTTGTAAACTACTTGAACTATAGGTTTGAACAAATGTTCAACATAAAAAAACATATTTTAATTCTCATATAAATATTGTTATGATAGGGGACCAGTGTGGCTGAGCCTGTCACACTATCGCGGGCCCTTGTGCCGGTAAAATTTACCGAAAATCCCGGTCAAGGCTCACGGGCCCCCCTAGCTCGCGGGCCCCCCCGCACCGCGGGCCCTCCCGCTATCGCCGCCACTGGTGTTGGTCAAAGTTTAAAATCCATCAAATTTCATAACAGTATTTGCATTGTATGGTTTAAGATCTCTCTATTTTAATTTGCATTCAAAGAGTTTTAATTTATTATGTTTTAAGTAAGTTGTACATATTTTTTATAAAACAGCTTCAGAAGCTTGTATTTTAGATATGTATGAAATGTTGCTTGTTGGGTAACATAACTGGTCATTACTTTTTTAATATTCTGTACATATTTTCAAACTCATTTACAGTTAGTTACTCAAAAACATTCTTGTGGACCTTTATTTGGGTAGCTAGAAAACCAGGGGGGTAAAGAATTATGCTTGAAATGTTCATGAAAAGGTTTCATCGGGAACTAAACCGCCATGGTTTTCTGAAAATAATAAAATTACATTACCGTATTTCTCAGAATAAGGAATTGAATGAATTACAAAATCAACAAACTAGTTAAGCCAGTTTATGTTGAAAATGTAAAGCTGTCTAAGGTGCTTCAGGTAAGAGAAATTTGTAAGCAGAAGAGTTGTAGTTTTGTAAGCGACAATTATTGATTGAATGGTTTTGCTGTTATACTAGAAGCCAGAAAGCCTATTGCATCAATGTAATTAGTGGCTGAATAAAGTATTATTTAGGTCTACTACGATTATTCAAGTATATAGTAGTAAACCACTCTATTGTCATTAGCTGGTTATAACAAAACTTAATGTTCGTAATTACAAGTGAAAAACGATAATTTCCTAGGCATTGTTTACTGTATAAGTTTTATATTTTCCATTAACGGAAAAGAATCATAGCAACTTTTCTCTGTAGCTAAATCTTTTAAAATATACTAGCCTTCCAGTAAATTTGATATACTTCATTCTCTATGATAAAAAAAAGTACCACGCAATAAATAACACAGAAAGATTTACAGAGAACCAAACGTACCTTTAAAAATACATTTTTTATTCAAATCTTATCCTTCTCTTCTTTTACTTAGCATTTACAAAGACAAAGTAGGATCATAGGTTTCTCACTTTGGTATGTTTATAACTAATATGACTAAAATGAAAGCAAAAATAGTTTTTTTCTGTAATTATTAAGTTAAATGCAATATAATTGATCTGAACTTGAGCATTGCAATAATTATATCAACTTTTATGTATCTGCAAGTTAAAGAACATTTCTCTCAATAATTTACTGTACAGTATGAGTTTTAATTTTAAATTATGAATCAGAAATCATTATTTTGTTGACTAAATTTATTCCGGAAACAAATGTCTTGTAAACTCACTCTGTACAGTAGTTTCTAGAAAAACTGGAAAGCATTATTTACATTCAAAATTATCAAGTATAAATAATGTGTATAATCAGATTCCTAAATGTAAAAGTGACTTCACATAGTAAAAACTCCGTACAAAATTGGACACCAATATTGTCCCCTTAGAAACTACCCTTTAGTGTATGAAAATAAATTACTATTTACAAAGGCTTATTGTTGGACTAAATATGTTATGGTATACTAAAATTTGAATCTATTGTCTAAGAAATCTACTCAGTGTAGTAGGTATTGCACTTGGAGATTCAAAAGTACAAGCAGTGTTGCCTCACTGCAGAAAACTGGTTAGTTCGGTGCTAAAATTTGGTTGCTGTTGGTTAGGTTTTGGTTACAGTAAGTTTAAAAGTGATTGAATATTTTAAACAATATCTCAACTATCATGGCAAAATTTACAAATTTAGTAGTTTCACTCCCCATGGAAAGTAATTATTTTGATGACATCTTATATCAAAGAAAATTATTCTTTCCCAAACTCTAAGTCCAAATTTGTAGAGTTGAGTCCCCTCCGGTCATGGTGAAGGTAAAATTGTGGGTACCTTTCGCGATCGTATTCTACGTGCACGGTGAAATAATGAATATCTTGCACCATAGCGAGGACATTACTGTCTATTATGTTTGGGGCCAAAATTGAACAACTTCCGCGTTTGAGAGGGCATCATCTTCGTCTCCCAATATCCAGGCAAAACATGAACGTCTCTGTGGTCTCGGAGCATTCAAGAACATCTTTTGCAGTTGCTAGACCTATTTATTGTCACCTGCGATCGCTGGGAGTCGTGATATTCGATCGCGCAATCTTTGCAGTCGCTTTCGGTAATCGTGAGAATATTAGCTCGACTCGCAAATTTGTACCACCTAATTCTAAGGACAATATTACATTATTATTTGACAATATTATAGGTGAAATTTATTTTCCAAGAGAAAAAATATTCTTTTGAGGCCACTTCCCAGGCTGAGTTCTGCCGTGTCTGCCGTTTGGGGAATAGAAATATGGCCCTGATTTGGGGGCCTATGTTGGTGAGGGGCCTGGGGCGGGCCGCCCCCTCTCGGTACACCACTGTTTCCATTCCTCTGCTCAAATTTGCATTGTACTTGAAATAAAACTATTACATGTAGTTTCCCCTTCAAGATTGACTTCTAAAAATAATTCATCAAAATTATATCTTTTACCACAGCAACCAACGTGTATTGTCAAGTTATTTACTTTTGAAACCAGTTTTGAGTGAATTATCGACACATAATGGCCGTCACCCAGGTTAGGTGACAGTGGCAACACTACTTGTCCAGTCACAGTTCGTCGTGTGGAAGGGGAAAGTGCGGAGGGGTACATTGTCCATGCGCCATCCACTGGAGGTCTTGTACAGTGGCTCGGTACATGCTGTACACTGCGCAGACTACTAGCACGTGCATGATGTTGTGTGAATTGAAGTAGAGGTCTAGACGACCAGGAAACCACTTCTCTGGAACTCTCATCGCACCGATCGCTCCACCAAGGAGTGACAACACGTCCTAGAGTGGTCAAGGAGGCAACGATAAAGTGGTGGCAGTGATATTTAAATCTTGACCAAAGCAGGAAAGTGTTGATCAATTGTCTAGCTTGACTAAAGATTAGATTCATCTTTGTTAAAGTTGCAGTTACAGAGGTTTAACTGAGCCACCGACAGATTGTGCTGATATAAATTACTGATTACTGTCTAATACCACGTTAATAAAGCTAAAAACTGTAGCATCTTCAGCTATGGATGGAATGGAACTAAACATCACATTTCCATGTACAACTTGCAGCCTATCATACATTTGTAGGATTCCCCCAACCCCCTCCCATCATGTTGTGCATATACTGGGAGTGCGACAACATCGGTTTTGGTCATCTCCAAGATGCCCTCCCAGCCACAATGACCAGTAGCTTAATTCCAGGTGTTATTACCTTATCTTTAAAATACTCATCTGTCCCGTGAGTGGTTTTCCACCCTGTATATGGTTGTACATTATACAAGTAAAATGTGTATACTAAATCACGTTGGTTTTTTTTTATCACAACAGCAGCAGCGATGGTTCTAGTGTGGACACTAGCAGGTTCAAACCCAACGTTTTTATTAACTCAGTGAAAGTTCTGGGTGTTTATTCTATGGTGAAACTAGACTGACCTGCATAACACAGTGGATAAAGGAGTCCGGGTGTCCGCCACCAAACCTAGAGTACCTGAGTATACAGAGGACAGATCTCATGAGGAATGGTGTTGCGAAACAAAGTCTTCTCTTCCATGGAGACCAAGCGTTCATTGCCTAACAAGACAAAACAAGATTAGACAAGTTAGTAATAAGAATACCAAACTTACCGGAGATATTTTACCAAACTTACCGGTGTCGCAATGGTTTTTGTAGCAAAAATTGACCCGGGGTGCCACACTGGCGGTAAAAATCGTCGGCTTTGGCAGTTGTCTTGCAACGACCATACGAGATGCACCATGCAAGATATTGAGTAAAGCCATTTATGCTTTGTTTTTGGATATCAGGTAACAGTAAAACTTAGTAACAGACATAATATTGAATTTTAATTTCCATTGGTTGTTAAATAAACATGACAATTTAGATTATCGACATCAAATTAAAATTAGGAGAATTAGCATAATGTTTGTGTTTTTAATGGCTGTAATAGGGGTCTTTATTATCATATAACTGCTCAACTCAACAATTCCAACTTATTTCCTAAGTATAAAGTTACCCGCATCCGTACTAGAATAACTTCTCAAAACACTCGACAATCAAGTACGAGGAAGCGCGGCTTCAGCGCGACTGATGGGAAAGACAGCCGAGTGTGGCAGGGTTGCCGGCGACAATTCCCGCCGAAGAAATAGGCCCAGTCCAATTCCACCTCGACTGTCGCAGGCGGCAACTTCACTGAGCGACGATTCCCGACCGGTGTGGCACCCTCCATCAGCCTAGTGTGGCATTACCCTCAAGTGGTTTTCTCATAATAGTACTATGGAAGTCAGATGTTTGAAAAACAAGCAAATAATTTAGAAGGATCATACTAACTTTTTTTGACAAAAAATAAATTTACATCTACGCCTAGATAATTTACGTTACCTTAATTAATCCTAATACAGAGCCTCCAGCGTAACTAGCCACCACCAGCCACTGCAGAAAGTAAGGCAGGCAGTAGACTGAGGCTCGCACCATTGGTAAAGCACCTGCAATACTTCATAGATTAACACGAGAGCCTAGTTCACACCTATCACCAATAGAAAGGTAATTATTTCAATTTGCTCATTATATTTTACCTAATCCTGTTTTGTGCCACATCACCTCATTGCAACCAATTCCATCTCATTTCACCTCATCTCATCTCATCCAATTTATCTTGTACCTTATTTCTTTTCCATCATACCTCATTGCAATTTCAATTTCAATACCAGAACATTCAAAGAACAAGAATTGTTTGAGCAAATGAGTTTGTGATGGAACATTTACAAGGGTTGTCCAATTAAGGTCTCCATCGAGGTCGAAGTTAACGTACCTATATTAGCGTATCCACTTTTGTTCATACCAATCATTAGTTCTCGATATTTTCACAAAATTTTCGTTAGTTCTCAAAAAATAAAAAAGTCATAGATAATAATTGAGTACGCTAACTTCACACTTCCGGTTTCTAGTGTGCACCGTTTTCTTATGAAAAATGCTTACATCTTTTTACCAAACGTTAGTTCTTTGTTAGTTCTCGATAGTTCTCCAATATTGTTGCTAGATCTAAAAAAATAAAAGAGTTACGAGGTATAAAAAGTGGGTACGCTAACTTCACAATTATAGAATTTCCAGCGGGCACCGTTTTCTGACGAAAAATTCTTATATCTATATATCAATCGTTAGTTCTTGATAGTTCCCCAATATTTTTGTTAGTTGTCAAAAAATAAAAAAGTTATAAGGCATTCCACGTGAGTATGCTAACTTCACACCTATAGAATTTCCAACAGGCACTAAAGGCCTGATATCAGGGGTTCTACTGTAGATATAAGCATTTTTTGTCAGAAAACGGTGCCCGCTGGAAATTCTATAATTGTGAAGTTAGTGAACCCACTTATTATCGGCTATAACTTTTGTATTTTTTGAGAACTAACGATTGGTATGAAAACAAGTGGATACGCTAATATGGGTACGCTAACTTCATGGACCTTCTCCCAAAAGTTGCATCCAAGCCAAATAGTTCAAATCTGAGACTAACTGGTCCACTAACTGGGTTTCATTCCTATTAGAGGATTAGCCTGGCCAAAGTATAGTCATCGCAAAAGAAAATTTATGAATTAATTACAGTTTGGTGGTAAATAATACAAAAATCCAATTTTTGGGGTCAAAAAATGTCTATAAATAGTTTTAATGTGTGTTCTGGTTACGCATTATGATAAAAATTAATTATATTTCAAAAACTGTTTACATTATACTAGTTGATGATGGTTATGAACTCCTGGACGATATAGCCTCTAACAATTATTTTGCCATCATCATTTTGAGTTACTGTTACTAAGTAGTTACAATAATTTAATTATTCCTAGTGTACCGGTACCTGTTGCTCTAATTCAAGCAGTTGCAAAGTGTATTACAGGCGTCATTTTAAAATGAATAACAGTCATAATTTCCGATGACCTTAAAAAAGTCGACTCAAGATTATGGAAATACTCACGATGTACATAACAGTTCAGTTCGGTATAATCTACATTTCTTGTAAATATCCAATTTTCAAAAGCTGATCTTTGTTTTTAGTGTTTTCTTCAAATGTTTCCCACACATACCTGCATTAGGTTGTCCATAATAATAGTTATATAAATTCATTTTCAATAAAAATGAAATTAATAGAAATTAATTAATTCATTACCGTATTCATTTCAATAGAAATTTTCTATAAAAATAATTTTCTATTTCTTCCACTTGGTGGTGTTCTAGACTTCCCAATGTTTCCATAGTTTGCAGATCGGCTCTTTCAATGATTGCTCAAGAAATGCAGCACACTGCATGTTAATTCAGTTTTCTTTTTAGTTTATTAAACTGTCCAGGCTTTCTCGCTTTTTTCTATTGCAATATTTACGCTAACCCAAATTCAAATAGTAAATATTTTATTTCAACCAAGTCAGTAATGTTTGGGGTCTGACTTAGGGGAGTTTTTTTAAGATGTTTTTTTTTAAGTAAGGTTATTTAGGTGTAGGCGCTATCTCGTTATTGTTGTATATATAGTATTGATTTTGTGTAAGTAATGATAGGCAGTAGAGTGAGCTATCTGAATGTGTTTTTTAGATATCAGGGGATTTAAGTTCTTTAGATAAAGAGTAGATTGGACAGTTGATTTATTTATTTATTTTGTTTTTGAAATAGGTATTAGGATTTAGTATTAGATGCACAGGAATTTTTTTTTGTGTAACCGAACTGGAGGTACTATTTGGGGTTTTGCATAAAGGGTTGTAAGAAGAGGAATGAAAGGGCTGACCTTGGAATAGAAATACCAGTGCTCTTCACCAATGACTGACGGGTTTTTGTACTTTTAGTGTACTTTCGGAATAATTGTACGATTGTATATTTCCACAATGTAATGATTTGTCTTTAGTTATTTGCAGAATTTAGAGCTGAGTATTACTCACTAGGTCAGAGTGAATGGCCTTGCCTAGCAGCTGACTCAGCGCAGAGACGGCAAGCGCTGACATTGTAGCGGTGTATTGTGCAAACACTGACGTGAGCTATTCTACCTTGCTGTTATTATTCAAACAATGGGTGTATATTGTTAAACAATTTTAGATATGCTTTGGGGAAATGTTTTCTGTTGGAAAATGATTGTATAGCTTTCTGTTTTGTATATTTTAGGAATTAATAGGAGTGATAAAAAAAAATATATATTTATATGTAGACTAGTATATTGTTTATAGTAGATTTTGATTTTGAATTATATGATGGTAAAAGGGGGGAAAAAACAGAGTACCACTTGTAGAAGGGGTTTCGAGAATTTCTGTTCTTAAAGTTTAGCATAGTTCTGGAAGAAGATTAATTGTTTATATATATATATTGTGGGATTTAATTTGTAACGAAAGGACCAATAAAGTTCTGGGTTCATAGACTCATTTTACTTTCAATTATGGGGTGTAATTTTACGTGGATTTTATTGCTCCCAGGGGTTGCGTTTTGTTTGGAAGTGAAGGTGTTCTCTGGGAGTCATTTTCGAAAATTGGATCCTCTGGCCATTTATGAAGCATCTATTCCTTTAACCTACGTTTTACCTAATAATCAATTTAAAATTCCTGATTTGTCAGCCTTTCCCCTACCTACTTGTCCTTTTTCTGATCTTCGTCTGAAGAGGATGTCAGCAGCTTCTTTGGAGCTCAATCGACTCGTGGAAGATCTACAGCAGCGTTTGGTTCCTCGGTGGAATGTCTCCAGAGCATCGAAAGGAAGAAGAGCAGTGGAAACAATTGGCAATTTGTTAAACTGGTGTTGTGGGACAGCTACTGACACAGAGTTGCACACCTTATCGAACAACGAGGAGACGGTCAACAAACATTTGAATTCTCTACAAGATGTGATGAAGCAAGATCATTTGGACCTTGTGAAGACGGTGGATCAAATGAAGAATTATTCAGGCGATGTGTCAAGGGTGTTGGGCAAGGTGCATGCTGCTCTAGACCTGCTAAGGACGGAGATGAGTTCGAGTGTATCTTCAGAGAACATCTATGGGAATATGCTGCTGAACATAGTACACCTTCAAGCGCAACTGTATGGGAGTCTAGTGGGGCAGTTGGATGACAAAGCTCGGGGGGAGTGCAAGAAGAATCTTTTACCTTCGACACTGGTGCCGGAAGAGTTATTACGTAAGGATCTGGTGGAACTAGGACGGAACTTGTCGAGGGATGGATATGAGATTGCTCTACACGACGTCGGGATGTTTTATGCTTTGCCCATAACAAGCTGTAAAGTATCACCGTTGAAGATTGTTTTAACGATAAAAGTGCCTGTTCAACAGATTGGGCACAGATGGGCGTTATTTGAATATGTCCCGGTACCGATGGCATGGAAGGGACTCACCTGTTCTATGGCACTGAGCCCTACTCTTGTGGCACTGGCGGGAACCATGGTTCGTACTATCTCGGGGCTGCAAAGGGATGACTGCAGGCCTGGGGCGTCGCAACTCTGCAAGCTACCACGACAGCGGCGGGGTTCGGCTTTGTCTATGGAGTGTGCGGAGAAGCTGTTGGCACACCGTACCATTGAAGAGCTGAGGAAGTCGTGCCCATTCTACTGCGGTCCTTCGCATGGTGGCGTGTTGGTGACACAGGTGGCGGAGGACACTTTCGTGGTCACGAATCCATCATTGAACATCACCCTGTCCTGTCCCACCTTTTCATCAGTTTTACCCGTAAATGTACCAGGGGGTTTTGAGGTTAAAGTTGGTTGCGATTGCGAGTTGGTTGATGGGGGCGTGGTTTTGATATCCAGGCAGTACCCTTGTTTGCCGAGTACAGAAACACCTTCCATTATTCATGTACTGCCTGCGGCGTGGACCTCTTTGGAAAATTTCACAGTAGATCCGTTTGTGTCCAATTCTAGCGCGGTTTTTAGAAATTTTTCTCAGATTTTAAATACGAATTGGACTGTTTTTTCTCCGTCTTTAGTGGTCCACCAGGACATTCCGCCATCGTTGCTGGATGACGTTGTTCTGCCAGAAACTTGGTGGGATGTCACAGACACGACGTCATTTAAATACGTTGTGATTTTTGTATGGTTGGGGATTTTATCGGTTCTTTTGGTTTATATATGTCTAAAATTGTACATGATTAATGTTGAAAATACATTGTTGGTTTCAAATAGGATCAATAGGAATTTAGGGGGGGAGTAATTAAAATTGGTTTTTTTGCTGGTAACATGCTATATAGGGCTAGGATTGATAATTTTTTTTTATTGTTTTATTAATGTTTTGAAGGGATTTTGATAGTGGAGACGCTGAGGACATCATCTCGTAAGGTAGGGGGGATGTAAGGGAGATGTAGGTTTTATATTTGTAGATATTTGTAAACTAGAGGTTGTAGAGGTTGAATTGTAGATAGTGACCTTGCCAACTAGGAAGCGTGCTGGAGGTGTTTTGGTAAACACTGGGTGCTTTGCACTCAGTAGCTGTCTGGTCAATAAATAGGCCACCTGAGGTAGGGAAAGGGGTCAGTTG